GTTTTTTACTATCAGTATTACATCACGATAACAATAAATTATTATATCAACAAGGAGATACTGTCAGAAATTAAAATCATTTAAAATTTTACTAAAGGTGGTGAGGTTCGTGGATGAATTAACATGAATTTATTCCGTTACCCGTAAAAGTGAGCGTTAAGAAGCTGTCTCTCACTCACGAACATATAAAATTGCGATAGAGATGTTAGAAATCTAAGAGATAGCTTAAAAGAGTTCCCACCATTGATGCCAAAATGGTTTGAACGGTTGAATTTTGTAATTAACCTTGACATAAAATTTGATTTTTTCTGCCAAGAATTTTATAAAACCGAACATTTATCTTTAAATAATTAAGGAATAATTTCTTGAACCTCACCAGGGTTAATAATTTTTCACCTGGCTAATGCAGATTCAAAAAGTGTTTCGAATCGAAATAAGTTTGGAAAGAGGTGGAGGAGAGGAAGTCCAACTCAACCAATTTAGAATGTGGCTTGATCAAAATGATATTAAAAAAAGAAAATACCATACCAACCGAAATAAAGTTACTTTTACGTTTTAATTTTAATAACAAGTATGTACTTGTGTAATCTCGAACCATCAACTTTATAATGTATAGAAAATAATTTGTTAACATAATTGAGTTTAGGATTTAAACCATGAAATTTTGTACAATAACTAAAATTGAAATAAAAATAAATATGGAAGCAGACAAAAAAATCCTACGTGAATGAGAATGGGTTGGGTTGGGTTACATTTCTAGATATTCGCTTAATGGATAGTTTACGTGCAGCACTTTAACTATTACCATATTCTACGATAAACACATCGTATATCAGTACTTTTTTATGAAAAATTATATGAGAATTCAAGAAAGAGCTAAGAAAAACATTTTTTTTAATTCTTTTAATTATTATGTATGTTAACCCATTAAAATCTGTAACTTGGAGAAAGAATTGAATTTTTAATAGGATAATCAAATTTGTTCCTAAATCATACTTCGAGTACTAAGTCATACTGACTTTAGAGTTAAATCATCATTATGAGCTAAAATAATAGAAAAAATTGAAAGCTTCTCGACCAAGAGCTCCAAGTGTAACAAGTTGTTCAAATTCTTATATAAATGATGGCTTATTAAGTTTTTAGAAAAAAGTATGGCATAAAAGAATGTTAAGAATTCAAATGGAAATTTCATGGAATAATACATGTAATACGTTACAAAACTTATATCAAGTTGGCCAAAGTTTAATATGACGGTGATGGGGAATTTCTGATAGGCTGACGCTTCAAGTTAGCATTAAATCAAGTTAATATTATACTGACTAAGCTTTATAAAATCGGGCATGGTGATTTTTTAACACAACATATTGATCAAATAAAGTATAATGACATTCTCCTTTTAACTACAAACTCGCATTTTTTTTTAAATCAAGTAAATAATGTAACTCTATAAATATCGGAACATTATACTAATTGTAAATTCTGTCTCTCTCTCTAAAATCGTGTACCTGATCTAAAACCTGTTATATAAAAGACTTCGCGGAATTTGCATGTATTATTGCCAATGCCAGTTCCTATTTGAAATAGTAATTTCCAATATTTCAAAAGTTTCTTTCTCAAAATTTCAACATCTTCTAATAAATATATTGAAATTCATTGTTTATTTTGTTAATACATTTGTGCGTTAATTTCTGTGATATTGTGAAAACATTCAAGTCCGGATGAAGTACATAACAATGTCAAGTTTAAAAACAGCATTCTAGGAGATATTTTTATACATTTAAGTAAATTTTGTTATTGATTAACCTTGACATACCATATTTTACAGGCTATAAGACGCACTTTTTTCTTATTACTCGAAATTAATATAAAAATGTCCAGTGTTTAATTTAAAATTCTCGCCAGTCTTAAAAATGGTCATATATTCGATAACGCGGGCAACATTGGGTTGAAATGGCAGCAGCAGTGCACCAATGTGATGAACATGAATTTACAAGCTTGCTAAAATTGTCTTCCTGCCGCCCCACCAAAACAAATTCAGAACATTATCTAGCATATGAAGCGTCATTGCAATCTATGGTACCAATGAACTTGAATTGAACGTGATTTGTGTTATCGGTAACAGTACAATATTTTTGTTAGTAGTTATAAATATGATGCGGGCTATAAATTGAAAGCATATGCTGGCGAACATAGCAGCAAAGCAGCTGGGCAGCATTTCGGCCTTCCACCAACACAAAAAAACATTCGCGATTGGCGTGTTAGCAAAGCAGAACTGAAAAAAAGAGGAAGACTAAATGAGCAACTAAAGCATTGAACGCAAAATAGCCAAAAGGGTTTATGAAGCGTCATGGAATTGGCATGCAAACTAAAACCAAAATATATCAGAAAATGCCACAAGAGTATAATGAAAAAGCCAGTGTGGAACTAAGCCAAATAGGGAATATGGATGAAACTCCTCTGACATTTGATGTACCGAGACACTATAAAAACACAGCTGGGCATGAAAAATTTCACTACACTGTTGTTCTTTTATGTTGTGCTGACGGTACTAAACTTAATCCAATGCAAAACAATGCCAAAATTTTCTGAAATACTACGAGGTGTTTTGACGAGGTTGGTATCAAATTTGCAAAGGAAAGGTGCTTTTTTGAAAGAGTTTTCATCTTGTACTAGATCAGTTTAGTAGCCATTTAAAAAATTCTGTGAAAGAGAAATTCAGAGCTTGCTGTTATTTCTTACAAAGAAGTGTGTTAGTGCTTAAAATATCCGTGGTCTAGAATAAGAGAAGACATTATTGTTAAATCATTCAAGAAGAGCGGCATATGTAACGTTTTTGATGGCAGTGAAGACCATCTTATATATGAAGAATTCAACGATGACGATGAAGAGGAAAAAGAAGAAAGTTCATGAAAATAACTTAAAAATTAAGGTGCATCTTATAGTCCATAACGTCTTACAGTTCGTAAAATACGGTAGATCGAACAAAATTGAAATGAGAGAAAATTGAGTACCTAATTTTCTAGTTGGCATATTATAGACTCCCTACATGTTATAAAGTAGCGCAATTGGATATCATAATGTGTAAGAGAGAGGGACCAATATAATAATAATTAGCGCTCATAGACAGAATCCTACTCAGGTTATTCTTTAAATTGCTTTATTCCATGTTTATAGATAAACTTGGGGTATTCCCCGAGTTCTCTATACGATGTCAAGCAAGGACGGTAGTTCTAGTTTTAATTGTTATTCAACGCTAGATTTTTGTATATTTTTAATTGACTAACGTCTCTTAAGACTGCTAAACTCGAATGGTCCTAATTCTTGATCTAGTGTTAATTCTAGTTTTAATTGTTACTCAGCGCTAGATTGTTGTATGTTTTGAATTTAACTAAAACATTAGACCTAGAACTAAAACGGCTAAAACTAAAATTTTTCATACAATGGACTTTAGTGGAAAAATAAGATCGTAAAAAGTCATCGGATAAAACGCAACAATTAACTGAAATGAAGCAATCAACTCAGAAAATGATGATAGCCAAAAAAATTAAGTTAAAATCTGTATCCATAAGGAAGAAGACTTGATGTTGATGATAAATGTTGAAAAACATAAAGTAAAGAGGTTGGGGATCGAATCTAATACATAAGGCACGATGTAGGATTAGAGTAGCGTGTTCCCCACTACAGAGCGATGATGGACAACATGACGACCGCTATGTAAACAAGTTTGAACCAAGATAATAAGACAACGTAAGCAAACTATAAATTAGAGGTAAACTAACTTCGGAACTACTGGACTCATTACTCTCTATATTAATATGGTTTTTCCTTTTTAATACCAAAAATGGCATCCTTTCTAAATATGGGTTACCTCTAACAATGTAACTCGACTTATTAGTAAAGTTAGCGTCACATTGATACATAATAAATCAATTATAGATGCTTCTTTAGGCAACAATTAAAACTGATTTTTTTTATGATTCAATTAAAGTAAACGTTATCTCACCCCGCATAAAATATGTTTGCAGTTTAAACTGGATTTTTATTCATACATGACCTCAATTATCACATAATGATAATTTTTTAGTTATATGATTCATTTTTATAAAATTAAGTAAAAAATAAAATTTATTCTCTCCAATTATAATAAAATCCAAAATTTGAAAGATTTTTTTTAGATCCATTTCAAAAAATTTAATAGAATTCATCAACAATTAACAATTATTACAAAAAAAATTGATTTATAGTTTTAAAACTTGATTTTATGAATCTTTTTCAAATATTCTCACCCCAAGCATTTCAAATTTGGTTCGCGTTTAGACGTTTTTCTTTTTTACTTTTTATCGTACATAGTTCGTTTATTTTTTAACAGCATTATCCTATCCACGCATACTTTTCATGACAACCCGAGTTTTATCTGGAAGCAGTCAACAAAAACGAAATGCTAGATAAGATAAGGGCCATGTTGTGTCTCCGTTGAAAGTTCGTTTTTTTTTTTTCATTCTGAATCGTTTAAAAAAAAACAAACCTTTATTTAGTATTATTAATTTAGTATTATTGTTAAAGGTGTGTCTACATATTGCGCGGCAGCCGCGCAAACATTCTTTAGTATGTCCAAACTTGCGCGCGGTACAATTATGTCTTGAAAATGCCTCGCGGTGTTTGGGCATCATTTTTAGTAAATGCTACGCAACAAACATTCATTGATATGTCCAAACTTGCGCATGGCAGAATTGTGTCTTGCCTCGCAATGTGGACACATTCTTAAATTGAGGTTATATTTTGATATCATTTTCAAAAATTGGTTACATTTAAAAATGTTTTAATGGAAACAAAAAGAAATAATTATTAGGGTGGCCGCCTAAACATTCTTTGGTATGTTTGCGGTGGCAGAATTGCGGCAAATATCTCGTGTTGCTGCCGCACGATGTGTGGACACACTCTTACAAATTCTGACCTCTTGATTAGGTGTAATTTTTAACACATTAACAATTCACAAAAAAAAGAGTCAAAAAGTTTAGTGGATCTCCTTAATACATTTTTTGCTTATAAATTACTTAATACAATGTAACGTCTAAACGCATAACCAACAAAAAACCCTGATAAAAATGAATATAGTACATAATATTTCTTCCGCGTGAAGCTTACCCTACACTCGTAGAAGATCAAAACAGAGTCCGTTTCCATCATCATCATCACAGCACATATTCCCCCGGCACGATCATCGTAAGAGCCGCGGACCGTGGTTTCACCTGACGTGCCACAGGCCCAAATTCAGCGTATTCAGCTGCGGCAACTTCATGACTTTCTCCAATCCGGCGGTCGTGATCCTCGTGCATCCATATAAATCGATGCATTTCAATTTGATTAGAGAATCGGCGAGGACGTACAATCCTTTATCGGAGATTCGCGAACATTGGCCGATATTTAACGTTTCCAGATCGTGGAGGGTTTTAGCGATTCGATGTAGACCGTCGTCCGAAATTTGACATGCGCTTAACGACAACGATTTTAAGTTGAATAGGCCTTGGGAGATGTGGGCGAGAGCTTGGTCGCCGATTTTGTCGCAAAAGGAAACGTCTAATGATGAAATTCGCGATCCACCTTCCGCGAGATACGCCATACCGACGTCGGAGATGTTGTCGCACGATCTTAGATTCAGTTCGCGTAACGAGCTCATTTTGGCCAAATGTTTTAAGCCGGCATCGGTGATGCTTACGCAAAAACTTAAATTGATCGATTTTAGCGAGGTCAAACCGGCGGAAACGTATTTTAGAGCTTCGTCGGAAAGTGTTTGGCAATCTTGAAGTCCTAAATGTTCCAAACAACTATTACTATTAGCGCCATCATCATCGAAATCATCTTCGTCTTTTCCAATACCGGCTAAGTGTCCGATACCGGGATCTCCAACCGGACACGATCTTAAATTCAATCGTTTTAACTTTTTTAAACCGAATGCAATTAAAATTAATCCGGCGTTTGTTATTTTGCAACAACCTCCCAATTCAAGAGTTTCAAGGTTTTTTAAATGACGCGCTATTATCCTTAAGGAATGGTCGGTGACTTGTTTGCATAAAGAGAGGTTGAGTTGCGTCAGAGCTGGTGGTGATTCGGAAACGAAAGCGTGCGAAATCCCTACGTCCGCTACGTTGTAGCATCCGCTCAAGTTTAACGATTCTAAATTGGGGATTCCCTGCATAACATCACGTAACGATCTTCGTAACGATAAAACTTGGACTCGTTTGATTCCTCTTTTCACTAAAGATTGAAATAAGGACGGGTTCGCCCTTCTCAGGTGCAGTTTTGCCTCGACATCTCTCCATACAGACTTCCTGTAGGCAGCGTCCCTCCAAGAAGTGCACACCTGCGCCACCCTTCCTTTATCACGTACATCCAGGTAGCCGAAAATAATCGCCAAGATCTCGGGGTACAATCTTGAAATATGAGTCGTTCTTCCATCGTCATCCTCCTCCGCATCCGAAGAAATTTTTATACGAGTTACTGAATCAACACCACGTTGTTGGTCGTTACCACTTTGAAACCTTCGCGATCCATGTAATTCTTCTATCGTTGTTTGGCCGCGATGTCTTGTTGGTCGGTGTTCGAAACGTTGAGTCTGTTGGTGGTGTCTTTGATAAGGTTCAAACCTGGTGACGGCCGGGTGCTGATGGTGATGATGATGACGTTGTCGCAGCAACGCGGCCGTCGACAATAACGGAACTGGAACTTCCGTGAAAAGGAGTTGATCCTCCATCGCTAATAAAGCGTCGTCTTCTGAATCGTTAATATTGAGGCACTCATAGTAAAAGAAAAACGGCTCCGTTTGTTGGCAGTTCGTTATAACCCGCGACACCTGCGTTATCTGGCGGCCGGTTACGCGCACTACGAGTACTCACCGTCGGCCGCTCGAGTCAAACTGGCGCTGAGCGCGCGATAAATGCGCTCGCATATCCACTTTGGTACGGTTTCCGTTCAAACTGTTGTGCGCATGATCGTTTCGTTCCGATTGGTTCGTTTGATGTTCACGTGACTCGCGATGACGTTATTGATTCGGCGACCGGCGGCGGCGGCATTTTTAACTTCGGATCCCCTCTCCAACGGGTCCGCGGCCGCGGTCTTTTCTCGACTTTTTGGGTTTCTTCGTCCTCGCTTCGACGTCGCTGGACCGTTATTTTCTCTCTGTCCCGAATGAAAAATACGAAGGGACTTCGGGAGAGACATTTTTCCCGGGCGCGGTTTTGAAGAAAACAACGGCTCAGTTTGATTAGAATTGGAAAATTCGAAGTTGTTAGGCAGTTTTTTGTTGTTCGGTCAAGTCGTTTTTCTATACCGTGCGCTGTCTCTTTTTTTCTTTCTTTTTTTTTACTTTTGGATGGATCTCCGCGTAGTAACCTTCTTATATTTATTTTTATAAAAGAGGAATGGGACGGCTGGGAAGAATGAGGGACTGGGTAAACAGGGCCGTACTCAAAACCTTTTCACATATTCAACATTATTTTGTTAAACACCTGAAAGACCTCAAAAATACTTGAAACGATCATAAAGGAAAGTTCATTGCATACTACAACTTATATTTACAATAATCCAAGACTAAAATTAAATTTCCAAGTTTTTACATATACAGTGACAGACAAAAGTCTACATATAATGCACTTGAGTTAAAGGATTTACACTCAGCTGCATAAAAGACACATCACCTAAAATGATGACCAGTTTCAAAGTTTTGGACGTATAAAAAGCAAATTTGTTGGATCGGATGACATTTCCATTGACATGATTGGGATGATGCTTTCTCGTGTACTTTCTTACATCACACATATAATGAATACTTTCATAGAGCTTAATTACTATCCTGAACAGTGTAGATCGTGACTATCGTGCTTCCACTACCAAAAAATTCTTCGCCAACAGCTTATAAGGATCTGCGTCCTATAAGTATACTACATGTTCTCAATAAAATATTGGAAAAAATTATATGTGCTCAGTTGAGAGAACATTTGAACCTTAATATTAATAGCATATTGGTTCTTTTGGACTTTAGCAAAGCATTTGATATTGTCAACCATCGTGTATTGTTGGTGCTTCTTCAACGTGTTGGTTGTGATGATTGGTCGTAGATAATGTGTGATGGTGAGTATTCTGGTTTTTCAGATGTGACAAGGAGTGTTCTGTATTAGGACCATTATTTTTTTGGTATCTATACGTTCTTGCTACCCAAGTATTTTAAATTTTCGAAAGTGACCATGAAATCGATTGCGAATATGAAAATTACTCAAATACTAAGAAACAAGGAAGATTTTTAGAATGTAAGAGAAAATGAAAGATAATGTGGTTGCTAATAGATTATGAAGACGACATTCGTGGTACAATTTGGATAAAAATCGAAACGGGTTCCTCACCTGGGAGAACATCTCATTATACTATTTGCAAAAATGTATCTGCTCCTACTCAAGATGCCACAAGAAATAGCGTAAATTCCGGAGTATAGTTCGCACCGCCAATTAAGCTGCGCCCCTGCTTTTGAGCGTTATTTTTAACATTTTTCACATATTCCCTACATAAAATTTCTTGCTATGTAAAAATTATTTTTATCAAACGTTGTGGCACCTACGATGTCAGAGGCGTCAATACATTACTGATCGGTCTTTTATTTTGAATTCTGATCATAAATTTTTAAGCATGAACTAAGCTGACACAAGATTATTTAGTGTTAATGAAAGTAGGGAACAAAAATGGAGAAGAAATGAAGATGTCATGTCAAAAATGCCAAAAAAATAAATATGTAAGAAGAAAAGGAGTTGCAAAGTAATCAATATTTGAAGACCACGTGAAAAAATTGGTTTCAAAATGCCGTTAAAATCGTGGCAACTTAGTAAAAATTTCAAGAAAGTTGCCTGTGATCTAGAAAAGAAAAACAGAAAATTATTTATTGTCTCAAATTGGAAATATGGATAAAACGCCCGTAATGATGGCGATAATTGATAACAGTGCAGTTGACGTGAAAGGAACTAAAACAATTAATGTTATATCAACATTATAGCATAATGTTGTATGTTGTCTTGTCTAGCAGATGGTACATACAATCCAATAGTGATTTTTTAAAGGAAAACTTTATCGTAATTAAAATTTCCTATTGGGGATTTTGGTCATGTTCATGAAAAGGTTTAGGTTTCATTTCACGGCCAACCCAAAGAAAATTTAAAACACAGTAACACTCATATGGCCACTTTTCCTGGTAGTCTAGCTTCCTTGCTACAATCATTAGATGCCTGCGTTGTTGGAGGGAAAAAACTTATATCAAATGCGTAATAAACTGAATTGGACAGAAAAATAGAAAATGATAATGGTGGAGTTCCTCAAAAAGCCGAACCACTGGGCAAAAGGACTAATTAATAATTATTGCAACAAAAGCCCTTGGTTCACACCAGAGGTAAAACTATGATCCCAACTAAACAATAAGAAAACAATTACAAAAAAGGTAGGTCATTAGGTCCGGGTAATATCCCCAATGAAAGCTGAAATGGAAAAAAAAGGAGTTGTGTAATGAAACACTGTAGGACTTACAAACTCTAGATAGTTGGAAAAACAGTATCTCTATTCCCTAGACACATCCATAAAACTGTTTTCAGAAGCGCAGAACACTTTGAACAAGCATTTCTCGTGAATTGAAACGAATAAACTTCCACGGATAGCCAGAGATTGCAGAGCAGCATTCAAAAAGCTGCAAGGACGATCTCCAGAAAGATTGAGATAGCTGGTTTTCCTTATGATAAGAAATGCAGACAGAAGAGAATGAGTAAAAGAAGCCTCTATGGGTTCCACAACGAAAAAGAAAATTAAAATTTCGTTTAACACAATTAATATATTACAATTATTATCATGATAACGCAAAACTAATAAATAATGTATACTACGTTTAGCCGAGGTTGCTTACGGCCGAGGCTCTACAATTAATATCACGGCAATGCGAAATTGATCAACAAATTAAACCGCCTAATACACATTAATGTCAAGAAACTGGTATACTGGACAATTTAAAAATAAAAATTGAAAATATGGTGATTCTTAAAATTTGAAAAGAAGTTGTTGCTCCCAGAAACTATATCGATCAATTTCATAGTCAGTATTGGATTTTCGAAAGTAGCCTAAAACAAGGAATCTATTAGAATGTTTACGTAGGATGAAAATGTGCGTGCTAAAAGGTCGAATGCAATTGCTTCTGGTTATTTCGGGATGGTTGTCAGTGGTAAAACAAAAATACGACTATTATAGGCATGTTGATGTGATGGCTTTTATCTTATTTCCCGGTGCATATCAAGTTAATAACGTAAATTTTTTCAACAGTGGACCATTACGTTTTGCCCCAAATCGGAAATTTTGGAAAAATCGGAATGATGATTAAGACTAATAATAATAAGTAAGATTTAAGCCGTTGGTAATTTTTGTAAAATTTAAATGTACATACATTTTTGTTAGTTTAGCTTCATTATTCACTGCGATAGTAAGTTTTCAACAGATTCCAGTGTGATGAAAGGGCTATTGATACTATAGACATAAATAATAAAATTGCTATTAAATAAAATTTAATATTGAGCAATAAAAAAATGTATGCTAGAATCAAATCGAAAAAACTGCACGTCTGTAGTATTTTTTACCAAATTTTCAATTTGTTGATTCTGAATACGGTCCTGTTGAGTGGACGAAACGGGCGACCGCCGGGTTGGCAGCGGATGCGAGCGAGTGCGACGGAGAGTTTAAAGTGCGATGCATAGAGGTGAAGGCGGCCGAACGACCGAACCGAACAGCATTTCCCCTTCAATGTTAAAGCTGATGTACCGAGAACATAGCGAACGGCCGTGCTCCCGGTTCTGTGCTGCTGCTGCTGGTGCTACGACCGCCCCGCACCGCACTTATTAAAATTTAATATAAATTTCCATCGCACTGGCTTACTAAATTTGTTTTCGTCTACGTGGTCCCGTAATCGACCTTTTCTTGGACTTGTACACGCAGAACTGATATCCGTTCAAAAGAAAAATCAACCACCTTTTACTATTACTCGAAAAAATAAAAATAAAATAAAACAAAAATAAAGAGAACACGCAACCCCTAGCTTAAAGTCCAAAAGTTATTTTAAGTATTCTCTTTTTTTCTTTTAAATGGAACAATGCCTGCATAATTTAAAACGACGGTCTTTCGTAATTTTCCGATTACTCATACGGTTTGGACTGTTAGGAAGTTGTATTTATGGTAGGAATAGGTTAAATATGTTTTGTTGCTAAAGAACGAGTTGTTGTTATGGTTAAAAATTAACATACAACTTGGCTTTAAATAAATCTTTGTATTTTCTTTTTTTCTTGCGTTCACATAACAAGTGTTAAATTTTGGTAAGGAATACTTAAGACCTTGGAGAGAGTTAAAAAAAATAAAAGGAGGTCATTTTATTTTTATATCACTTACTATCATTAACACCTTTTATTTACTATTTACTTCATATTTTTAATGCATTTTAAAATACTTAAATAAATAAAAATATAATTCAAAATTAATATCAACACAAATATCAACCAAGTTTCGCAATCATTTTTAAGTAGCTGTGTAATTTATACCATTAAAAAAAATAATTCACTTTTAATACCAGTTTAAAACTCAATCCCATGTAATTTGTGCTATCTAGTGAGAAAGCGTTACTTTTGAATTGTTAGATTGTTAGCTTCCTGTTCATGTATAATGATTTTGTTTCATAGATGGCGTTAAAATTGCAATTCCAAAATCAGATTTAAATCAAAATTTTGGTTAGATGATGTTAAATAAATAACCTAATTCATAAGATTGTATTTATTTCGAAATAGGAAATAATCAAATAACACATTGTGGCAACAAATAGAACAATATTTGGCAATAATACTTATTTAAGAAGAAAACTCACAGAATCAAATCAATAATAATAAAATAAAAAATAAAATATATGCCATCGCGATAATTTAAAAATTAAATGATTATAATACGACTTATATTTATCACATCAGGAGAAATAATTAGCTTCTATTTGTACACTAAAAAAAGCGGCCTTTTTAGTCAACAACAACCACTTCCATAAATTACAACTACCCTAACAAAAAAAATTAAAATCGTCATCATATAACACACGACATCAATGATATTTCAACATTATTGAGCATTCGTTCCTTGTTCCGTTTACAATATCATCGCAGTTAAGTTTTATTAGTGGCAAAATTGAAAAAAATTCATTGTACTATTTAATTATACGCCTTAGCACCTAAAGTCATTTTTTTTTAGATCTGTTATTAAAAGTTTGAAAGGAAACAAAAACGTTCAGCATTAAACTAGAAAATTATTGATCTTTCAACGATTGGACGGACCAACCCAAAACCCGCCTGTCAAAGCCGCACGTAAATAAATTCGCGGAGTATAGATTATCATCAGCCCAAGCGACACAAGCTACCATCCTGTTGTGCCCTTGTCGACTAGATCTCGGTAAACGTGCTAATCTTTGACCGGTTAAATCAAATAATCTAACGTGTCTATTATCGTGCGGAATCGCTATGATACCGTGAGATGAAACTGAAAGTCGATTTACGGGGGAATCCGCCCTTATTGTTGCTACTGGTGACCGCATATTACGTAAATCCCAAACTTTTACGGTACGATCATCAGAACTTGACACTACTTTATCTTCTCGTGTAAAAACAGCAGATGTTACACTCCTTTAAAATAATAAAATGCATTAATTTTATTTTTTAAATAGATATTGTATGTTTAATAAAATAAAAATTCTAAAGCAATTTTATATAGAATTTTTACTTTATTGAACATTTCCGTTTACTCAAACTTACTCTGTATGTCCTTGAAAGACAGATACTGAATGTACAGTTTCCCTAAAATCCCATAATCGAAACGTGGTGTCTCGCGACGACGTCACAGCTAATTTTTGCGACGGATGGGTGGCGGTATGAGTCAGTTCAAGATCATGTCCGGTTAGAGTGTTTAACGTCGCCCCAGTATCAACATCGTGCAAAATTCCTAGTCGATCCCAACCAGCTGTTATAATTTGTTCCGCCCCAACCAACCAATCGGCTGCCGAAATTGCTCCTGTGTGACCAGATAACTCACAAACTGGAGTTCGTAAAGTTGCCGCCCGTGAATCAGTTCGATCATCACATTCTTCACCGTCTAATTCTTCTTCTGATGAATGTCCTTTCTAAATATAACAAGAAAAAAAAATTATTCGATTATTTCTATTTTTAAAATTTTAATATAATTTTTAAGGGTTAAAATGAATGGTATTGTAACCATGAGCTAAATTATTACATTCACCTTGAGCTGTTTACACATTTATTATTTAATCTAATGAAAATTGGAATAAATGATGTTTTGAAAATAAGAGGCAATCAATACATAAATGGTTTAATAAGTAAAAATTACGTTGTTTTCCATGAAATGTTAAATTAAATGAAATTACAGTAAAACCTTGATGTAACGGATTAATTGGAGACTGGAGTGTCCGTTATAGCCAAAAGTCCGTTTTAATTTACACTTTAAACTGTTTGAATGAATAATTTAGCTAATTTACCTAGAATTAACGCTAGCACTAGAACTGGAAACATTCGGATTTAGCCACCTTAAGAGTCGTACGGCTAAACCCGAATATTTCTAGGTCTAGTGTTATAGGTCCTATACACCTGGAAACAAATTATGCAACAATAGCTGTTTTGCGAAAATTGTATTGTGTTGGTTGATGCATTGCGCAACTGGTTGCAGAAATTCAAAATTGTTTGAAATTGCATTGTGTATGGGGTTTGTGCGACACATTGTGCAATAACGACAGTTTCTTTTCACATGTGTTTAGTAAAGGGTGGTGATATTGCTTCTCTCGATATTGTGTTTTGTTTTTGCACCGGAATTACATATAACTCGCAATATATGAGTACAGTAACCATAGTTACGAAACTACTGTGCACTTGCACTTTTCCACATAAAATGCAACATAGCTTAATAGAACAGGCATTAGGTAGTTTTGCAAAGGAAAAGTTTTGCTTGGTAAAAGGTGACGTCTTTATGACAACCCCGAGTTTCCAATAATTCACCAAAAGTAGTGGGATCCATACGTAAATAATTTTATAGTCTAATGGTGACTCTCATCTATATTCTCTGCTTCCTTTCTCTTTTTCTAACACTATCTTCCGACGCAACAGCAATTATTATAGCTAAACAGGCTGCTTCGTCGGACGGCATGTTTCCATTCGTAATAATAATATTTGCCTTGTTTGCCCAATAACCTGTTGTGCAACATCAGTTTGCGAAATTTGTTTGCAGGTGTATGAAGCCTATAACAGGTTATTGTGCAAACAAGGTTACCCATACACTATACGCAATTTTATACAAACTTCACACAAACCCCATACACAATGCATGAAATTAGTTGCGCAACTAATTTCAAACAATTTTGAATTTCTGCAACCAGTTGCGCAACGCATCAACCAACACCACATACTACACAATTTTCGCAAACTTGCGATTGTTGCACAATTTGTTTGCAAGTGTATGGGACCTATTAGTTCTAGCTTTAATTCAATGAAAAATATATAACAAACTGAATAACAACTGAAACTAGAACTAAAACTAGATTATCACCACGGACTAAGATTAGGAAAAACGACACAAAGCTGGCGTCCTACAACGTCAGAACGATGATGGCACCTGGTAAGAAGCAGGAAATCGAAAGAGGAGTTGAGAAGTTCAGGCTTGATGTAGTAGCAGTTCAGATTAGACAGATGGGGCAGGGTGACATTATACAGGGTGAGTATTTTTCCATGTTTAGTATGGAGATCTCGAAAACTAGCGGAGATAGAGAGACGATTATATAGGGAAAGAACTGCAGTTTCATGAACTCAATTTAAGAAGCTTTTTGTTTTTTGGATGAAATGCATGGCTAACTCCATATCTCTGTCATATCTATGTCAAGTGGTATATCATTAGAATCGTTGAGAAAAGGCCTTTTTTATAAAGTCATGGCCAACTATGGCTTTCATTAGAAAAATTACAAGTGTGTGTCATAACTCAAAAATTATTGCTTAAATAAAAAAATCAGTTAGACTGCTTTATTAAACATGTAATACCCTACAAATTTTTCCTTTACACATTTTTCCTAAAATCAATAATAGCGGAGTCATAGGTATCTAACGATATAACAAAAAAACGGGTTTTTTGAGATATCTAGTTAGCCATGCATTTTATGCAAAAAACAAAAAGCTCATTAAATTGAGGTCATGAAACTGCAATTCTTTCCCTATTTAATCGTCTCTCTATCTCAACTAGTTTTCAAGATCTCTATACTAAACATGGAAAAAAACTCATCCTGTATATTATTAAAAGATAATAAGTTAATTCAAAAATTAACTTATTTATTTTGTTGATAAAAATAAGCATAATTAGAAACTGTACTATAAGACCTAGCTACTCTTAAACCTGACATACTCTGAACACTAATCAATGTAGGAATATGTACATTGATTACTTTTAACACTTTTAACCTTCCTTTCCCAAACTGATGTTGCATACATCATACATGGTTCAATCAGACCTTTATAATTAACTGCCAAAGCTTTGCCATTCAATCCCCATGTAGTTTTAGCAGCAGCACCTATTTTATTGGAAATTTGTCTACCTTTTTTTGTTACAAAATCTAAATGATATTTAAAATTTAATTTTTCATCAAAATAAACACCTAAATATCCAAGTACACTTTTACTTTCGATCTTATTACCATCTAACAACAAATTTGGATACCTTTGACCAGGTTTACCAAAGAAAATAGTCTCTGATTTTGATGCATCAAACTTCATTTTACAATTTTTACTCCAAATATTAAATTTTTTTAATACAACATTAGCCAATTTAGAAATATTTTTATGTTGTTTAGTTTGAATTAAAAGTGTTGTGTCATCCGCAAACGCTACGACTTCGCAACCGACTAGAAATTTAATATCAAATATTATGGCAAACATTAGCAAACATTATGTTCCAATAATTTGGCCCCAATCTAGATCCTGGCTGTACACACAGCCTCGTTCTGTCTTATAATTAATATTTAAACTTGGCTCATCAATAATATTACCTCTCTTCCTGAAAATAAGATCTAACTACATTGAATATATTTTTTGGACAATTCTTTTGAACCAATTGATTTAAAATGATATCTAACATAATAGCGACACAATATAATATTTAATTATACTGATGTATTATACAGGTGTCCGGAAATTGCGTCTATATATTTGAAGAGGTGATTCTACATCAAAAATCATGAAGAAAAGTTTATATAAAGTCCGGTCCGAAAATGCTTCCTAAGAGCGCTAGAGCCCTTTAAAGATGGCATTCAAGAAGTATTTTTTTAGCGTAATCTTAAAATGGCAAGGTCTAGAACGCCGAAATTTGGTGTACCGGGATATTTTTACGTGACAAATATGATAATCAAACTTTTTGAGTGCAATCTTTAAAGGGGTCTAACGCCCTTAGTCTTTATAATTTTTCATCATGATTTTTGATGTAGAATCACCTCTTTCAATATATAGACGCAATTTTCAAACAGCCTGTATAAATAATATTAATACGACTTAGAAATATTTTATCCATTATATCCAAAGTCCGTTCTAACAAGGTCATTTATATCAAAATTTTACTACACTTTTAATTAATTTTTAAGTTTAATTTAATGATTTTAATCCTTACAGGTACATCCCAATTAACAACAGCTTGCCAAATATGAGCTGAACAATCACCGCTGGCTGTTAGAACCAAATCTTTCAAAGGATGAAATCTAATGGAATTAACAGAACCATTGTGTCCATGATATTGTAGTAAACATCTGCTGCTATCTATACTCCAAATAAATGCGCTATGATCTGAAATAAAAAGAAAAACAGATGTCCAATTTCTAATAATATAAAAAAAATTATAAAACTTTTTTTTTTCAAAAATCAATACCACGCAACTTTCTCTAAAAATATCTTATTCCCAATCGACCTTGCGTCACAATAATTTCTATTTTTAAGCGATCTCTACAATTCCAGGTACGTTTATACAATTAATTCTGGCGCAAATACGAACCCGATTATTTCAAGTTTTTTAATGTATTTAAATCCTTTGAACATGATTAAAAATAGACGAGATTGGTTTACATTGAAAGTGTTATTTGCACAGCCATATGATGTATGCTAATAATATAATTTACACTTTCTAAGCTACAGTGAAAAAGCATCATTTTAGACCACGTCATTTATAGGTCAATTAGCATATTGCATGTTTAAAAAACTTCTTTAAATTTATTTCCAATAAAAGTGTGAACTATAACAGATGGTAGTATTGAAATTAATTCTTATTGCTTTATGAATATTTAATGAAGATGCTAAAATGATTAATTGATTTTTGAGAGGTCAAGGTTATTTAATTGAATTGGAAAAATTTAATATTTACCAGCTGAAGCTGTTCCAATTAGAGGTTGTCCAGGTCGAGCAACGGAAACCTCCCAAACACCATCTTTATGCCCAATGTATTCTTTAACCAAACCGCAACTAAATTGAGGAGCTTTAAAACTAGAAACAATTTTGCTTGTTTGTGCTTTTAATTTATGAGCAGTTTTAAGTTTTTGCGACGATGTTGAACTCACTAAAACGTAAACGCCAAAACTCATTTTATGCTTTAATAAGATTAAATAAAAAAAAATTTAAACAAAACTACACATACACTTTTTGGTAATAGCTTTAGATAAATTATTATCAATATCTATCCCTTCATATCCCTGTTTGTCATTCGTTTCAAGTTTCTCATTTAACAAATCCACTTTTTCTCGTACTAAAAAAAAATCCAAGTTCATGTGAACCGTTTCTATTTATAAACAAACTTACGATTTTGATTCTCTTGATAAATTAAATCAAATTCTTTCTCAATTTGTTTAAATAATGTATGCAACTTTGTCCTATAGTTCGGTTGATCACTGTCCAATTCATTTTTATAAGTAATATAAATGTCGCCTTCTATCGTACTTTGGGGCCGATTCATCGAATTTCTTTTACCCTTCAGCGGCTTATTCGCCGAGTTTACCTGACTGACTGACATCGTTATCATGTGAGGTACGGTTTTTAAATTGACAATTGGAATAATTAATTATTCATTGGAAACGATTTCACGATCCATCGATTCGCGTCCTTACAATCGGAGTTGTAAACTTAATTACGATAAATACAGACTTGACCTTCACTAATTTGAGTACGCTTTTTATACTACTTTTTTTTTCACTATCGGCGTACACAATTTAAACGGATTAAAAATGTATTTGTTATCCGAACTGTGAACGTCGTTGACATTTCTTTTTAGTTGTCAATTTTAGGCGCATGTCAAACAAGTTCTTTTATTTGCTAATAGATGGAGTTATAAATTTTTCGTTTAAAGTGTGTTTCTTTTTTAATAATTTTTACTTATTAATTTATCCAAATATAGCTATATTATATATAATAATATAGCTAATAATTATAGAATTATAAAATAAGAAATTTTATTTATTATGAATTATATTGCTTAGTTCTTTATTAAATTAATAGATGGAGCTACAAGAAAACACTTTTATGATGCTGATTCAAACAAGTATTTTTTATTAAGCAAAAAAAAATTAAAAGCAAATCCAAACCAAAAACAATTAATACCCAAGCATTTTTAATTAATAATTAGTTTTTTCGTTATTTCGAGTCATTCTTGATTAAAGAATTAATTTCATTGATCACCTCAGAGTTATGTAAAATAGAGACATGGTCTGCATCAATAATCTTAACTTGAATTTGATTTTCAAAATATTTTGATAATCCATAATCGGGCTCAACCTCTTTATTAATAGGTCTAAATAATTTTGCCTTAGATTTTAATTTATTTTTGGTTGGGACATAATTTTTGATTCCTTGTAATCGTTTATGGATTGCATAATAAGATTCCTTGATATATTCCCTTGAAAAATGTTCGTGATTTGAAACTGTATCTAACACAGTTTTGAGTTGAGCGTCAAAAGATGAACATTTTAAGATTTTATTCTAAAAAAGAATAAAGAATAAGTGTATAAAAAATTATGAATTGATTACCTTGATGTTAATTGAAACATCACTTGGTGCATTTGACGATATGAGTTCTAATAACAAAGTAGTTTTTAGATAATCTTCATTCTCAATGATGAATATTCTGTGGAACATTTTTTTAAAATATGTTGGCGCACCATCAATAAAAATTAAATTGCAAATGATTTCGTGTTGTTCTAATAAATCAGCAAGTTCTAAACCAACCATACAACCATAAGAATAAGAAATAAGGGTAATTTTCTTTTTGTTTTTAGGAAAATTCTGAAATAAAGAATTTACATAATATACTATATTAAATCTAACCTAAATTATTACTTCAAAAATATCTTCGGCTAACATTTGGATGTTATCATTTCTAGCTGTAAATAAATATTGATATCCGATTGTTTTACATTTTAACATGGAAGTTAAAGGCTTTAAAACACTGCACATTCCCTCAATTCCCGGTAATAAATATATTTCTGGAGCATCTTCTTTATCCTCAATCAATGAAGGTAATGTTATAAAAGGCACGTTACGTAAATGAGGATGTTTCATGTTTCGTAACACAATACTCAACCAATCTGTTGATTCTGTTTTAGGTTTTGATTTGATATCTTCGATTATTTCTCTTTTATCTGAAAGCTCTTTCAATCTATAAATAAAATCGAATAAATAAAACTGTTTTTAAAAGAATAACTGTAATTACTTTGTAAAAGTCATCGTTTTAATTTCTTGAGGTGTTAAACTAATATCAAAATCTCTTTCGATAATTTGTTTAATTTCAACGCCTGTTATTGAATCCATACCAAGTTCTGGGAGGGTTGATTGTAAATTGATCGTTTTTATATCTTTTATACCTAAATAAATTAAAAGTTATATAATAATTAACTTATTTACGGAAATACAGCATCTAGATGTAATGTGATGTAATGTAATGTATTGTATATAGAGATGAAAGAGGAGAATATTCTCAAAAATATTCTCCATTGCATTGCGTATACGCTAAATTTGTTAATTGGAGACATTTCAAAAATGAAAGAAATTATACCAAAGCAGCCATTTCCTTACAATAGTATAAAAAGTCTTCTTGATACAAAATATGCAGTATATACTCAGTAAAGGAGTTGGAAAGTTGATATTGGATAAGAATATTGTTTGGGTACAAGTTTCAAACTTTTATCACCTAATAAACCCTATTGTTAAATATATAACCCAACTGAAAGGAGATAAACCAAGGTTAATCCAAGTGGCTGAATGCTTTTATCAGTTGGAAAATCATTTTGAAACAACCCTTTCCTCAAGCCCTTTGCTTAACCAAGAGGTAAGGGAAGTAAAAAAAACTTCTTAGTTAAGAGAAAGCAATAAATCCAATACATCTTGCTGCAAATACTCTAGATCCAAATTTTAATGGAATTCATCTTAACAGAGAAGAAGAACAAGGAACAGAGTTTATAGACAATATGGCTACATTGGCTACTGTAACAAGCCCAGATGAGTCTGCAGAGGTAATGGCAGAATTGGTCCTTTATCAATCTAAAGAAGGGTTATTTGGAAAACCATATGTTTTAAAATCCGCTAAACAATAATTAACTAAAAAAATAGTATAAAAGGACATATTTTTACCCAAAATATTACAAATAACTTCTTGAACGTTAGCACCAGCATGTTTTTCAGCAACTACCATACTGGAAATAATCGTGGCATCGTGACAGAGAAAATTTTCCAAACGTTCAATACAGTTTGAAATTCCTTGTTGTAAAGTGCCACCAATTACGACTTCTCGATTCATTTCGTTCATATTAGCAACTAAACCGACCTTTAACAGAAAAAAAATGTTAAAAATTATTGATTAAATAATAATTTTTATATATTACATCTCCAATTGCCCCCCATTGTATTGTTAAAGCTGGCAAACCATCTTTATGCCTTTGTTCACAAATTCTTTCCATTACCGAATTTGACATTCCATAATTTGTTTGTTCTGAGTTACCTCTTCCACAAGATACGGAAGAAAAAACAACAAAATATCTATAAAAGACAATTGTGAATAATAAATTAATGGATAAAATAAAAGAATACCTTAAATTAAGACAAAATTCGCGTGATATCTGATCTAAATTTTTAGTAGCAAGAGCTTTAGGTTTAAAAGATTCTTCGAAATCGATTGATGTGAGATCGTTGAATAAACCATCTTTTAAAACAACAGCAAGATTAAAAATGCCATCAACGGGTCCTAATTTTTGCGCTTCATCAATTAATTCAATACAACCCTTTTCATTTGTAACATCGGCGTTCGAAATAACGATATTATCAAGATATTTTTTCCAAAATCGTATTCTTAAGTCTTGATACCCCGTGGTGATTCCTTTTCTTGAAACCAACACCAAATGTTTACAACCCTTAACCACTAACCAATCCGCTAATTCCAAACCGAATCCACCCAGACCACCGATGATAATATACGAACTATTTTGATCGCAATAAAACTTTGATGTGCATTGAAATAAATCCTTTTTGGGAATGATGTTTGATTCTCTTTCTTCGTTTCGAAGATTAATTAGTACTTTTCCCGTGTGTTTTCCGGTGGACATAAAACGATAAGCATCTTCGATTTGATCTTGAGTAAAAATCGTTCGAGTTAATGGTTGTATCGAACCATTTTTTAAACCTTCATGCATCATATTTTGTACATTCCTTTTTTCTTTATCATCGCCAACGATAACAACATCCAACATTATTCCGTGTACATGAATCTTTTTCTTTAAAACTAATAGGTCTATTTCGTTGTTCATCATCAAATCAAGTTTTCCTATTTCAAGCATATGTCCATTTCTTGCCAAACAACGCAAAGAAGCATAAAGGCGTTCACCCGGTAACGAATTTAAAACAATATCAACCCCACGTCCTTTCGTTTGGGAAAAAATTAAAGTTTCGAATGATGTATCTCGGGAGTTTCCGATATTATTTGGATTTAAACTTGGGAATTGTTTTAGTAGGAAATCTCGTTTGTCTTGAGAACCAACAGTTGTGAATATTGTGCATTTGTAAAATAAGGCTAAGTTTATTGCTGCTTGACCAACACCACCAGCACCAGAATGAATTAATATTGTTTTTTCTTTATTTAATCCACCAGCCTTAAAAAAGTAAAAAGTTTCGGGTTAAACCCAAATGTTTCTAGTTCTATGTTTAGTGTTAATTCTAGTTTTAGTTGTTATTCCGTGCTAGATCGTTGTATATTTTTTATTCAACTAAAACTAGAACTAACACTACACCTACAACTAGAAACATTCAGGTTTAGCCATCTTGAGAGATGTGTGGCTAAACCAAAATGCTTCTAGGTCTAGTGTTAGTTTTGTACTAGCACTGTCAGTAGAACTAACACTAGACCTAGAACTAGAAACATTCAAGTTTAGCCATCTTAAGAGACGCACAACTAAACTCGAATTTTCGTAAAACTCAAGGTTTTACTATAATTTAAAGCTTACTCTTTTAAAAGCAACAAGAATCGTTGAATAAACAACAGGAACTGTCGCAGCATCTTCCATCGACCAATTATCAGGGATATCATATATTAAGTACTTATCAGCTGGAATTAAAGTTGAAAGAGCACCCCTTTGGCACATTCCAAATACTCTTCGTCCACTAAAAATTTTTAATGCAACAACAGAAATTAAAATTAACATCAAAAATACTTTGAATCACGTCCCGAATATTCTAATCCTTCATATCCTTGTCTAAAAACTCTCGTTGTTGCAATCATATCGGAAGGAATTCGTCCTGATGCCGATAAAACATCTTTAAAATTCAACGATGAGTAATAAGCCTAATAACATAATAAAAAAATAAACAAAAACGCATTTTATGAACAAAAAATTACGTGAACTAGAATCTCGTCTTTTTCAACAATCGAATCATATTTTAATGGACCCTCAACCCATGTTAAAGTGGATAAATCACCGGGATTTTTAACAACGACAAATGTTTGTTCTGAAAAACATTTAGTAGTTTCGTTAATAATTAAATGACGATATGTTCCCCAAATGGAATCTTTAAGCACATTAATATGCATTCCTTTTTGTAATTGATCTTGAAAGAATTTATCTTTAATATTAAAGTTGATATCGTCCATTATAAAAACGCATTTTACATTCGTTTTTCCGGGTTCTCTTCGTAAGCAATTAACAAAACCTAAAATTCCGTTCAAATCCCTTCCTTTTGATACAATAACCGCATTAGGATTAATTTGTAATTCTTCTTTTAATTTTGGAATCCAAGTAAAATCCTGGAAATTATTTGCGAGTTCGAAATAATTTTCGACATTTTGTTTCGGCGTTTTTTTCAATAAAATCAACATTTCATTTGTGTTTAAAATGGCGTGTTTGGTGAAAATTGTTAAAGCGGGAACATCAAATAATTTCTCAATGTTTTTTTCTTCGCGGGCTAAAATAAATCCGTTGGGTTCTAAAACGTTTATAATTTCACTAAAATTATTTCCATCGCTTAAAAGGTTATTGGCAATCACTAAATGTAATCCGGATTCATATTTAACGGGTTTATCGCTTAAAGTAACTCCCGTTAAATCGATTGGTTTATCAGAAAATAATTTTATATCCGCTTGAATTAATGGTTGATCTTCAACGGCTTGTTGTAATATTAAACTGAGTGGTTCTCGATTTTTATTATTACTTTCAAACATTTCAAACGATTTTAATTCTTTTTGAGGGTTATTTTCTAAGATAATTTGAACGTTAATCCTTATCGATTCTTCTAAAGTTAACAATGTTTTGTTTGGAATAAATTTGTACGTTTCTATAACCGGTTCTGATAATGGCTTTCTTTTAGAAATTTGTTTAAATTCTATTTGACGAATTTGGATTCCTTCAGATCTTATTATTCTCGAATTATTATTAACTTTTACGTCAACGCAATTATTTTTTATACTTGCAAAATGAGCTTTTGAATAAATTATTATTTGCTGAATAAAAGTTGGTACGAATAGATTTCTTGTATCTTTTTGTAAAATTTGTATTTGCAACATACTGTCGATGAAAGTTATCCAATTGTCATCCCATTTTAATTTCATAGAGTTTGCTAGGTTGTTTGATTCGAGGATTCCACGAAATTGACCTCTAACAAAAATTAAAAAGATTATAAAAATAAAGAAAGAGTTTGGAAATAATATTTGGATTCTTACAGGTTAGATTTTATATCGAAAAATATTAAGGAAAATTTATAAAATTGCATTCTTAGAGACTTATAGGTCTTGAAAGTCACCTTTTATGAAAAGATTTTGCAAACAGTTCTGCTAACGTGGTCAAATGATAAGTACACCACATCTTATACACTTTTCAGAAAATATTTTGTTAGAATATTGCTGAACTTTAATATTGCAGCATCTTATTCTACACAATATATCAGGCAAATCTCTTCATATGTGAGTATTAAGCATATTAATAACTCCACTTTGTGCAAAGCCCATTTCATCAAAAAAGAAAATCATTTTTCTTCATCGCCAGGATTTTCTACAACAGCTTCTAGGATTCATTCTTAATTTATTACATTTATTGTTGTTCTTTTTCTTCATTCAAAAGGTAAAGAGCTGTATTTCTACTATTAATTAGTAGATGTTGTAATACATTTTTAGCAGTAAATTTTTCCTCATTAAAGGTTGTTTTAGAACAAAGCTTGAAGAGGCATACTTAGAACAGAAACCAATTAAAGTCGGTGTAAGACACAAGAAAGTGTATTAGATCTAGTTCTGTACCTCTTATAAAGACGATTAATGATTTTACCAAGAATCTATGAATGAACGAAATTACTTCATTAAATCTTAAGAAAAATATGATAAATATGCAAAATGATGTTCTCCACCAAATTGCAGTGATAGTCAAAATTAATGAAAATCAACTTCAATACCATGAAGTAGTGTTGAAGTACTAGAAAAAATAAATGAAAATGACTGAGTTGTAATAGAAATAAAACTTTAACTTATATATTTTGACTTAAAATCTAGTCTGCAAGTATTGCAACGTTATTTCCAAACACTTGTGTAAAAGTGAAAATAGAATTACTTGTAATTATATCCTCTTAATTTAAATTCTTTATAAATATCTTTTGTTTGAAGACGTTTTAATTTACTTTCTCCAGTTAATTCGAAATTAATGAATTCGTCTAATGGTGGTTCGTCTAATTCAAAAACTCTTCCAGAAACAATTACACCATCTTTATCAGTTATATTAAAAATCCCGTTGGGTTCAATAAAAACGTCGAAAGATAAATTTTGTTTTACAGGCACAGTTGTGGCCCGTATAAACTTTATATTTTCCATGCATAAATTTATTTGATTGAGTTTAGTCCATCTTATTTTGGTTACTGCGTTCATTACTAAATATAAATAACCCGCGGCTGGAAATAAATTTTTTCCTACCACAAACAAAAAAATTAAATATTATATCAAAATATTTGATTATAAATACCATTAACAACGTGTCCTGTTATAAAAGACCAATCGTTGTATTTCGTATTAATAACATAACGTTCAAAGCCTCGACTAACATTAAGTCCATCAACAACAAATTGATCTTTTTTGTGTTCCCATTCGATTAACGGAGAAATCATTGGAGTTTGTTTACTGACGGGATATTTTATTTTTGGATATAACTGATCAAGTTTTAAATTGAAACCATTTTGATACAAACTAAAATTTAAAAAAATAATTTGTTTTTTATTTTTTTTTAATAAATTACCGCCCCAAAGACGTCAATAAACCACATACGACATCCACTTCATTTCCAAATATATCAATAACGTTCAAATTAGTTGTTTTTAAATCGAGTGATTTACCACAATTTAAAATTATTGTATTTGCAGAAAATAGCGAAGAAATTTCGTTCTCTTTCAAATAAAGTAAAGAGTTTAATAAAGTCGGTGTTAATTCTTGATTGGTTTCGTAAGAATGCTTCCATTTTTGTGAATTAATGATTTTTGAAGGAATCAAATTAGTTAACTCTTGAGAGATTGCAAAATCTAAAACGACAAAGAATAATTTATTAATAACAACAAAAAGGGGTAAATTATTACGTGATTTTTGTTGATCATCTTCTTCGTTTTTGTATCCTTCACAAATTTTAAGAATAATTCGAATAATCTGTTTTAAAGACATTAAATTTTGCATGTAACAACAAACCAATTCACCAATAAAGTTTCCTGAATAAAAATGCGGTTCTATTCCCAATTGTTTCATTATTTCAACAATACCAATATGAATTGCAAAGTTTAGAATTAAATTATGAGTAATGTATGTCGGTTTATAATTTGTTAGTAATTCAAATATATTGTATGATTTTAAGCCATTTAAAACCCCAAATATTCTTCCAAAAATAAATAGAAGAAATAAATTGATGCAAAAATTAAATGAATTTAAAACTTACCTATTTATGGATATTTTAAATGCGCTAAATTTTATTAACGATTTTATGATGTCAGATAGGTTATTGTTGAAAGTATTGAAGAAAAATGCAAGCTTTTTCTGTTTAAAATAGCCACAAATCGATCTTGTTTTTTCTTCGTTTTGTGTAATAATTGTGAATCCTCTAAATCGTTCGTTTGGTAATGATTTGCTAATCAAAAAAAAAAAAAAGTTTAAACTTTTTTTTCGCTTAATCTTGATCAAAAATAACCAAAGAAAAGTTGAGTTAGGTCAGTTTTCTTTTGAAACCCTAATTATACCGTGAAGAAACCCCAATTATAGCTTGAAGGAATGTTATCTTAACCATTCCCAAAAGAATTTGTAATTCATTTTCAAAATAAATGCGTAATCAATTCTAACTTTTTTAATAATAAAATAATTAATTGTTTGGTACCTGAATATTTCGTGAAATAATCCAATATATTCATAATCAGCAGATTCCTTTTTAATATCATCCATAATTGTTAACACACCATTTAGAGTTCTAGCGCTAACACAAACCAATCTAGGTAAATTATCTTTAAATTTACTTTTATCTTTATTTTTATTAAATTGCTGAACTAATACATGACCGTTTGCTCCACCAAATCCAAAATTATTAATTGCTTAAAAGATTTGTTTGAATTAATAAGTAAATACCAAAACAAAAATTTTACCAATTAGTCCATTATTATTTTCCCATTTCGTTTTTTCCGTAACGACTTTAATTCGTCCATCACGAAAAGCTTCGACATCCAATCGCGGTGTTTTAAAATTTATGTTCGGCGGAATAAAATTATTTTCAAAAGTATAAATTACTTTTGTTAAGGAACAAAGAAAAGAGGCGGGTTCGGTGTGCCCAATATTCGATTTGGTCGAACCAATTAACAATGTGTCTTTACGATTTTTACAAAAAACTTCATTTATGGCGATTACTTCCTCTGGATCACCAACTTTTGTACCTAAAAATTTATTTAAAAAAAAAATAATCATGTTATATTTAAAGCAAACCTGTTCCGTGTGCTTCAACATATGAAATAGTCGATGGTAAAACGCCACATTCTTCATAAAATTCGTTTAATAAAGCAATTTGAACATCGCTAGCGGGATAAGTAATTCCATTCGGTTTATAACCGTCACTATTCACTTTCGAATGAATTGTTCTAGCATAAATCCTTCTCGCATTTTTTTCTTTTTGTAAGAAAATCGCTACCGCGGATTCAGATCGAACGTAACCATTTGCGTCTTGATCAAACGCTCGACAAATCCCTTCAGGACTTAACATTCCAAGTCTATTAAATTATAACAAAGCGTTTCAACAAAAAAATTAATTTAATTTTAAATTATTTACCTTGCAAATTGTAACGAAAAATAAGGCGATATACAAATATTCACCCCAGTTACAATGGCTTGATCACACATACCCTTTCTAATATTTTCATACGCTATGTTAAAGGCGTGAATTGAACTACTACAAGCTGTGTCAACGATGAATGACTTTCCAGTTAATTTGAGAAAATAGCTTAATATTTGTGCTTCCATTGAACGTGCGCAACTTAAATTTTTAATCAAAATTTAATTAAACCGATAAATATATTATAAAAAAATCTTACCTCATTACCCCACCAGAATTTAGCACCGGATGTTCGTAATACATTTTCTTTTCTGTTTCTGAGGAACAAACGCCAACAATAATATCCGTTTTTGTCCCTTCTAATTCCGTTGGATTAAATCCGGCATCAATGATGGCTTCTATTGCTCTTTCAAGAGTCACTCTTAACATTGGATCTGCATAATAAGCATGGCGTTGTGGAAATCCTAATAAAAACGTAATGGTGAGTTTAAGAATTTAACATTGAAATTTGTACCAAAATATCCCGCATCTAATTTGTTAATAAAATTTATTTTTCCTGTTCTTTGTGGAATTTCATCGTGAGTTTTTCTCCATCTTCTTGTATCATCAGAAACCAAATCGATTTTATTATAAAGGGATTCCGCGAATATTCGTGTGTTATCTGCATCTGGATATCTTCCTGATAAACCTATGGAAAAACCAAATATGGTCTTCTTGTTAAAATCTTATTATTATAAATACCTGAAATTACAACAGCTTCTCCAGGTTTTGGATGAGCAAGTTTATATCCAAAAGTCTCCCCCATATTGTTGGGTTAAAATCTTTAACCCGACTACTTGAATTTTTGGATGATTATCGTATTTATAGCGTATTTGTATAATTAATGCTGAATAACAAAATATTCAGTATTTATTTAAATTGGTTTATTGTTTCGTTAAATCAATTTTTACAGTCTGAATTTAATCATGAACTTGGTGGCATCAAATAAAAATATATTGTATTGTTTTGGGTTAATAGGAAATAATTTTTTTTAATTTACATAAAAAGCGTTTTAATCAACGTATAAATAAATTATAATACAAAATATAAAAAAAATTAAGCACCAACACCTTAAAATAAATAAATTTGTGTATAACAATAAAAATAGAACACTCTCATTTAGTAATAATACTTTGGTTGTGAAAATTAACAGCCTGCATAAAAAAGTATTAAAAAAATTAAGATTCACATTTTAAACGAATTAATTTTTAAGTACTTAATAAACGTAAGATACCCGTTTAAAAAATCATACAACAAAAGATTTTTCTTTTATTTACTTTCTGTTGGTTGATTTTGATGCACTTTTTCTTCAAGCTCTTTTCCTCTCGTTTCAATTGGTAAAATCAAACAAGCTACAGCAGCTAAAAGAGCTGCAATACCATAAATAGTTGTAGCAAAAGTTATAGATGATTTCAATAACACCTTTAAAACAAAATATTGATTTTTTTACAATTACATTTAGTAATCGTTTACCTGAGCAACATATGGAGTAACCATTGCTCCAAAACGTGCCATTGCACTACAAGAACCAACTCCAACCGCCCTTAAAGATGTTGGATAAACTTCTGGGGTGTAAACATAAGCTGCTTGAAAAACACCAGCGATTATACCACGAGCAAAAAATAACATTATTGTTAAATAAACACGCCTAAAAATAGTATTTGTTTAAAAATTGTTTAGATTATTCCTTTATCACACTTTGATTTGGTATAAGAGTTGTATATACTTGAAAATATTTCAATGTGTGTTAAAGGATTATTAATAAATTGAGTTTTTTTACTTGTAAGTGCAAATTAATAATAAAGAACAACAAATGGCGTAGAAAACAAATTGAACAGCCATGGTTTTTTTTCTCCCAAAACGTTCTATTATAAAAATCGTTGCAAATATTCCTTAAAAAGAACACATTATAGAAAAATGTTTTTGTTTATTTTGTAATAAAACCTGGAAATTCAGCTAAAGTCGTCCATAATAAATCCATATAATCAGTCGTTTGTAATTGTTTACAATCAGCTGCGCAAGTTTCTACAGCTTCTGGGGGAATAACTTTCCTTGAACAGCTTAATTCAGAAGTTTCAAATAACTCAGTAGTCATTAAAACCAAACCATAATAACAAAATGCACAAGCCATCCTTTAATTTAAAAAAAAAATTAATTGCAAATACTAAAATATCTTAATAATTACCATATAAACCATAACAATAAAGACGTCAATCTTAAAGAAGGTACTAAAAGATCTCGAAATCTTCCTCTATGTGGTGATATTGTTGTGGCATCATCAACAACCAAACGACCCAACAGCATTGGTTTTCCATTATCCTTAGCAATTTTTTCTAATGTTTCTAATGCTTTATCAGTTTGTCCACTTGCAACATGAAATCTTGCAGATTCTGGTAACCACTGCATAAATAAAGTATAAATTAAAGTTTAAATTCATAAACCTAAATTATTTTTTATTTAAATTACTTACAGGTGTAATTAAAGCAAAAATTAACAATGGACCTGTTGATAAAGCTAATAACCATTGCCAACCTAGTGTAGGCATAACTATTAACGCTAAAAATACTTCAAAACAAGCACCTAATGCCCAAAAACACTAAAATATTTTCGTTTTACAATAAACAAATAAACAAAATCAGTTCAAAGCTAAAACAATACTTACATCTAATAAAACGACACATTTAGCACGTTGTTTTGTAGGTAAAAATTCTGCATAAAGTGTAACACTATGAAATTAGATAAACAATCAACAAAAAAATAAATAAACAAACAAATAAAACAAGGAAACAAAAATATGGAAATGAAAACAATAAAAAAACACTTACGATTGTGGTGTACAACCAATAGCAAACCCAACTAAACCTCTTAAAAGTAAAATCCACATAAAACTGGGTGCTAAAGCACTTAATAAGCCATAATAAAATAACAAAACAGCACATAAAGTTAAAGCCTAAAACAATTTGATGTTTCCCAAATACTTACATTCACTTACACAAATATATTTACATGTTTTCTTCCATATCTATCGCTGAGATTACCCCAAAATGTTGAAGAAAGCATCATTCCCAAGAAAACAACCGTTGTTGTTAAAGCTTGTTGATATCTAAGCAAAAAAGATAATTCTTTATTTATGTTTTAATTTTATTTGTAATTCTTATACCTAGATATGTGCCAATGGCAATGTAGAGCGGGTGATAAAATAGATAAAATCGTCATTTCCATACTATCCGCCATCCAACATAATCCAGTCCATAAAGAAAGTTTTACTTGGAACCAACCAAAACCTAAGGCATTTACAGCTTGTGTAACAGTATAAGTATCTAAAAGTAGTTACGTTATAATAGAAAATTTAATTATTTATATTTGTTTAAAATAAAATACCATCAGGAACAACAGACATTGATGCCATTTCAATTTCTTGTGTTATAACAGTATCAGGGTCTGGAATTTCATTTCTTGCGTCTGTTGAAGACCCTTCGATATCTTGGTAACCTTTATTACGTTTTAGTACCATTTTTAAGTAATATTTTTATGATTAATATTTAAGTTAACGGTTTATTATGTTTTTGTAGGTATTTGACATACTTTCCATGACATAACCTATATTTAATGTAAACGTCAAATATGTCAATATTATAGGATTCTTTATATCATCTGTGATTTTGACTTTCTTGTATCACAGTATAGTAACAAATATAATAAAGTAACTTGTATATATACATGATATACATTTAAAGCAGGGGAGTGACACAACATAGGGATTAATTTGTATGTATGTAGTTCCCTATCGTAACTATGGATGGCGCTACTGATCGAAGCGGGCAACGTTGCCAGATCGTTGGATCATGCGTGCATCTCGCTTTTACAATGAAGTTGGCGGCAAAAGAACATAACCAAACATAACAGTTATTGACGGTTATTCTGTGTTGATGGTGTGTTTTGTCAAAGTTTTAGTTAAAATAATTGTGGTATATTGTTATATTATAGTAGTTGTAAAAGTTAATTTGTAGTACGTGTAATTATGCCTGCAATCGCAGTAAGTATAAGATTATTTATTACTTTCATTGTGTTAATTAATTACCGGGGAAATCCCCGCAGATATATATAATGAAAATTAACATAGAAAGATCAGTAGATATTTAATTTATGTGATGTAATTATCATTTTTTGAAAGTTAATTCAAGTATTAATAATAATAATTGTTATACAGGTCGCTGATATGTATGAAACGGTCGGTTATATAAGTAAGATAACTAGCAAAAAATCTTAAGATACAAAAGTTTTAGTGTTTCTTAAAATCTATTACAATAAAGACAAATTAAGTATACAGGGTCAGTCAAAAAGTTATGACGAAACCAAGTTGTGTTTTCTTTAATGGAACACCTGTATATTATTCTATATTTCGGTTCATCTCGAAATTCTAAACAAAATTCAAGTAACATATCGTAAACCTAAACCGTTTTCGAGATGTTGAACTTTGAAAATCACTCTTATAAATTACACAAAAATATTTGTATCGCTTATTTGCATGATTCATCAAGGTACCTTTGAAAGTTTCTCATCTCCACAGCAACGTAGTGACATAACACATGTCAAAAATACAAAAATAGTTTAAATAATTTGCGCCCAAAGATAAATTACGTCACTAATTAGATAAATTCGTAGATTTTTAAATGCTCGATATCTGGAAAACGGTTAAGTTAAGGTCTATGATGTGTTATATGAATTTTGTTTAGAATTTCGAGATGAACTGAAATATGGAATAATATACAGGTGTTCCATTAAAGAAAACGTAATTTTGTTTCGTCATAACTTTTTGACTGACCCCGTATACTTAGTTTATCTTTATTGTAATAGATTTTAAAAAATACTAAAGCTTTTGTATCTCAACATTTTCGCTAGCTATCTTACTTTAGGAGATAACTGACCGTTTCCATACATATCGGCTATACTGTATAAATTATTTTGACGTTTTAAGTGGTTAGACCACATATATATACTATCTCCTATATCGCTGACTAAGGCAGCAAAAGAGTGTAAACACTAGAGTGCAGATATATATATATCTGTCTCTGTCGTGCCCCCGTCTACTCAAGAGATATGCGTGAACACGTGGTGAGTACGCTTTTGTCTTATTGGACGGTGAATTAAAAATTAATAGCAGCTGATGACCTTGATGTTTATAAATCACCAAATAAATGTTTGACATAAACATAACCTAAAATCTAAATATTTAGTTATGTATATTATAGGTTTCATGTTTATAATAACATAATTATTAACATATTTTAGGACTAAACAATTTAAAATGTAATTATTATTTGTTAAGAAAGTGAAGAAAATTTGTTAAAAGTAAAATAAAAAAGAAAAAGAGTAGGGGAGATATTTTTGGGGCCTAAAAATTGGTTGAGCAGGTAGCAGGAAAAATCTCAGTGTAATAAAAAAGAATTCAAAGCCCTCCTTTTCTTGAAACATTTTTCTTAAAAATTTAATTAATAATTACATCGATATGATGAAAATTTTATGATAGAATATTATGTACATTAAATAGTAAGTACCCTAAGTACATATTTTATATCTTTAATTAATGTAACAACTTTATTAAAGGGCGTGAGCTCACAAATTATGTTAAAAATTAATAACTATATTTTGGTACACATTTTTAATAATTACTATGTATATATGTATTAATTTAATTTTAAAGAATATAATGTTTAATGAACAACCTACATAAAGTTGATATTTAACGCAATATTCAACGTCAATTTCACACAAAAGTACATATATTCTAATTTATTTGATGCATCTATGATAATTTATAATTAAAGTCAATTATTTACAATAATTGCATTTCAAAGCTGCATAAAATACGCGCGAAACACTTCAAACTCTTTAAAATTTACGATTCGCGCAAGCGCCTTCGCGACATGGGGGCACGACAAAGACAAAACATATATCATTCCGTCTGCTTTTGATGGAAACCCTCGCCACTCATTGCTTAGATAGGGAGTCAGCGATATAGGAGATAGTATATATATGTTAGACCACCTGATTTACTCCCGATTGTACACAAATTAAAAGTTAAAATCTTATTAACTTTTTTATTAGGAAATAATTATGTCCCCGATAAGTTGATAAAATGTTTAATAAGTTCTTTAGTTTTTAATTTATAAATCATGACCAGAATCATATAATTCAGTGAGATTCAACATAAGCAATTAATAATAACTTTTTTTTCGTTGTTATCCTCACATAATATGTAGTAATAATTAAATTTAAATAAGTAAAATAAATTAAGTAACTAAAAAATCTTGATGTTAAATTCTTAACAAGTTCTAAAAGTATTATTTAAAATAAGCATTTTAGAAATTTGTATTTTAAATCTCTAATAAATCCTAATGTACAGACATGTGTGGACAAACAGTGTCCAACAAATTCATTGCCGCCCAAAGATCGGCGATTATTCTGTTTTCCAAGATCAGACAATTTGCGGCGGCAATGGTTGGAACGGATGGATAGGTGCGATCTCATGGAGTTTACATACACTCAACTGTATGGGAGAAGGTTTCGCGTTTGTGAACGCCATTTCAAAACCCAGCAGTTCCAAACGCCAGCCCGGAAGAAGTTATGCGCCCAACAAATACCTCGACGTGTTGCAAATTCAGAAGACAATCCCGATTCTCCTGTCAATCCTCCTTCCAATACACCCAATCCTTGCATGTCTTCTGAATTTGGGAGTCCTAAGTCGAGGAGGTGCGAAGGTAAATATTTAATTAAGTACAACATAGTAATTAAATACAATTTCTTGTTAACGCAAATATATGATAGTAAAAAAGATTAAATTTTGAAGCAATAAATTAATTTCATTTTCAGGTCGGACAATACTTCGACAAGTTGATGCCAATAGAGGTGAGGTTACCTCGAAGAAGCAGAAGCTGCTGGCAGGGTGGAAGGATGCAGAAAATCCGGCTCTCAGTGACCGTTTGAATTTGAAGGTAACTAAAAATAGTTGGCATGTTGAGGTAGGAACAGAAAGAGGTCAAAAACTTACAGATCATATTTTTAAAGTAAATCATTTAATTCGCGGTTTATAGAGTTTTAATATGTGCTAAAATGAGTGTTATGATATCTAATTATTTTGCATTATTAGAGGTTGATTAATTAACAATTACAGACAGAAAAAGACTTGATATTAAATATATTAGCAGAAAATTTGAAAATATAAAAATATGTTTAAAAACGTTCTTTTCAAAATAATATTTATATTTACATTGTAATCTGGTTATAAAAGATTTTCAATACATAATAAGTATTTATATTGCGATAAGAATTATGTTCTAAAAATATCTCTATTGCAATATAATTCCTGGGATTTTCCATTTTATAATTTTGTAGTATACAAGTTAATAAAAACTAGTTTTTGCAAAAAAATCGAAACTATTAACGTTTTTTTTATTACATAAACATCAAAGTATTTAAACTCGGGATTCTATTCATATTAAAAGTTATCTCTTTAAATAATTTTAACCGTTATCAGTCGTTTGAGGGTCTTTAAAAGTTATCAACCTAATTTTAAATCAGTCTGAAAATATTTCTAATATGGTTCGTATTTAACTTAATTTATAAATATTAAAATATTAATTATTTATTTCTAGTCTACCTTTACTTATCGCGGATTAATTGCCCCCGTTTTCACAGTTATCAACGAAAGGTATGCTAATGAACAAATTAAAAAACATATTAAATTATTTTAATCTGTTTTAGAGGTGTAATTAATACGGAAATTATACCAAAATATGCTAAATATTTATCTGATAATGGAATAAAAGGACTTTTGGGTAAATTAAAATGATATTTGTGTATTTTTAATTTTTATTAAATTCAATTTTAGTTAATGGTACTAGCGGTGAAGGAATGTCGTTAAATGTTACACAACGAAAAGTTTTAGCTGAAAAATGGATGGAGGTTTCCAAAGAAACTAAACAGCATATTATGATTCAAATTGGTGGTGCACCTTTACCAGATGTTTTAGAATTGGTACAACACCACAATAAATTAATTAGTGTTGTTATATAAATAAGATTTATTTTAGGCTAAACATGCTGAAAAAATCGGTGCCAATTCGATTCTTTGTCTTCCAGAATTATATTTTAAACCAACCTCAATTCATCAATTAACAAATTACTTAAAACTAGTTGCTGAAGCAGCCCCAAAAACTCCTCTATTGTATTATCATATTCCCGGTTTTACAAATGTTTACAGTAATTAATTCTTATTTAAAAGCATGATTTTTTTGTAATAATATTTTTTCAGTTCATATGGGAGACTTCCTAACCGAAATTGATGGAAAAATTCCAACTTTTAGTGGTATAAAGTTCACCTCAGAAGTTATTGATGAAGGTTTAGAAGCTGTTAATGCACACAACAAAAAATTTGCGGTATTTTTAGGAGCTGATACAGTAATTATAAATTTTTCTTTTAATATGTTTATTTTAAATTAATTTTTAAACTGTTTTAGTTAATGTACAAAGCTTATCAATTAGGTTTTGATTCATCGATTGCAACAACATTTAACATGTTTCCTCCATTAGGAGTAAAAATTTACGAAAATATTAAAAATGGAAATGTTCAAGAAGCGGAAAATTTGCAGAAAACGTTAACTCAAGTTGTTTCCAAAATAATTAAACATGGTAATAAATTGATTATTTTTCAAATAAACTTTGATATAACATTAGTGTTACTAGAACTAGAATCATTTGGGTTTAGCCATCTTGAGAGACATGTAGCTAATCCTGAATGTTTCTAGTTATAATATATCAAAGTTTTACTGTATTTATATTTTTTCTATTAATTGTTTTATTAGGTACTTGGGTACCAACAATGAAAGCTGCAATGAATTTATTTTCACCAATAAAAGTTGGTTCAACATTAAACCCACTAATACCATTAAATTTGAATCAACAAAGAGAAATGAAAGAAGATTTAGATAAGTTATTATTATGTAATAAGTAATAATAAAAAATAATACATCTTATATCAATTCTCTTAAATATACAATATAAAAAAACTGTTTAATGATAAGTCTATTTTTTAATCTTGATGTATTGGAGTATAAAACTTTGATGGCAGTCCTTGAATGGAATAGCTATATTTATCACCATAAGATCTGTCTTTACCATGATAACTTTGTTCAATAACACGATCATAAAACCTAGATAATTTAACAGCATTCGAAGTACCAGCAGCTAAAAATCTACTTTGTCTACAATCTAAAACAATTTCTTCTGCATTAAATTGAGATGCAAGTTTGCTTCTTCGACTTGATGGATTATCTTCAACTAAATCCAACTTAGTTCCTATAATTAAAAGTGGAATATGTATGGAACCCAAAAAATTTTCAGCGTCCAAATCATCAAAACTATTTCCAAAAGCGCTTTTAGTATCGCTACTTAACAATTCTTGTAACCATTTTCTTAAATTTAATTCGGATTTTCGATTAGTTAAATCATGAACTAATATTATTCCATGGCAAGGATAATAGAATACGTGACGAGTGTTTCTGTGATTTCTACTACCGCCTACATCCCAAAATTCGATAAAATAAGACGTTTGTTCTGGAGTGCCTTCTTTGTATTCATGCAATTTAACTTCTACGGAACATCCCACGGTCCAACCCGGAGCTCGGACAGCTTCGTTTTGAGTAAGCAAATGAACGAAAGATGTTTTTCCAACACCGGAATCTCCTAAAACTATTATTCTTACACGATCTATAGCTGACATGTTATTGATGACATCAATTTCAATTATCAAATGTATAAAGAGGTTATATGTCAAATTTTTGACAGTTATAGTAACAACTCTGAAGTGGTTGCGTTTATCTAGTGAATTTTTAAATTAAATTATTTATTTTAAATATATTTATTAATGATTTATATGTAGTAAGAGTAATTAAGTTGAGTTGAGAGTTCCGTGGGAGTTAGGTTAAAAAATTAAGTTTATATTGGTCCAAAATCACGACTGTGTTGATTATCTAGGGTTATTTGATTTCTTAGTTATTATTTTAATTTGGAGTCTGCGAGTGCAAAAATAAAAAAGACTGTTGGACGTAAAAAGTGGCAGTGTGTGTGTTAGAAATATGGCAAAAACGTACGATTATTTATTCAAATTATTATTAATCGGTGATTCTGGTGTCGGAAAAACGTGCGTACTATTTAGGTTTTCCGAGGACGCCTTCAACACAACCTTCATTTCAACGATAGGTGAGTCAGAATCGGTTATGTTTCGGCGATGTTTTAGAGAGGATAAGAAAACGACAAGGAATTCGGGTTTATGTCGGCTTTTTTTATTTATTTTACAGCGTTTCATTAAGTATGTTATTACTATTTAGGAGATAAACTTTGAACGAAGTCGTTTTTCTTAACTTCAAGAAAAGTATAACCACACCTTTTTTACATGAAACGTAGTTTTATCGTTTTAATTTTTAGACTCCTTCCTGTTTTTGATTAAAAAATCGTTTTTGTATATGACTAATAACTATTTCATTGTTTGAATTTGAATCATTTTACAAATTCCGTTAATAACAAAGGATTACTTAAAGCTATCAATAAAATTCGAAATAAATTTATTATTTTCTTATTGTTTATATAGGTATTGACTTCAAAATAAGAACAATAGAATTAGATGGTAAAAAAATTAAATTACAAATATGGTAAGTTTCAATAATATAAATTATTTGTTATAATTTAATTTGTTTGTTTTAATAATAGGGATACAGCAGGTCAAGAGCGGTTTCGTACGATAACGACAGCTTATTACAGAGGGGCTATGGGTATAATGCTCGTGTACGACATCACAAATGAAAAAAGTTTCGAGAACATTAAAAATTGGATAAGAAATATCGAGGAGAACGCATCAGCGGATGTAGAAAAAATGCTTTTGGGAAATAAATGCGAATTAGAAGAGAAACGACAAGTTTCGAAAGAACGAGGCGAACAACTCGCCATTGAATATGGGATTAAATTCTTTGAGACTAGCGCTAAGGCCAGTATTAGGGTTGAGGAGGCTTTTTTTACACTTGCTAAGGATATTAAAACTAAAATGGATAAAAAATTGGTAAATAAACAAGTTTATTTAGTTCAAAATTGTTTAATGGTATTTATTTCTTTATTAATTTTTGAAATAAATACCGTTATAAACAAAATTTAATTATAAAAATATATTAGGTGAAGGTTCTTTTTTTACTAATACATCTTTTTCTTCTTTTTTAATGCAATTTCTTTATACAGAAGGTAATTATTATTGAAATCTTTCTAAGCATGATTTAATACTAACAATTTGTTATATAAGAAGAGTACAAATAATAAAGCTGCAAGAGCTAAGAAGCAAAATATCTAATACTAACATAGGTTAGAACTATACCCAAGTCTGATTAGCTCTCAATGAGTTATTATTTGGTTTTTATTACTTCATCCATTATTATCATTAATTAACAGCATGAAATTTTATTTTTTAGGAGTATTTATTAATTAAGCAACTCTCAAAAATGAAGTTAAACAAATGCATATATCTTATCCTTCTATATCTATGTCCTATATGAATTCTCTACCATAATTTAAAAAATTCTATTGAATATTAAAGTGTAACTATTAAAACACTTTGTACATATCAGTATTTATGATTATCTTTATTGTATGAATATAAATTTTACTTTTATTAACAATAATGAAATGAGATATTACATCATTTTTTATTTCGCTCTACAGATAAGATTAGATTTCTTTTAATTAATTATATAATGAAATTCGCAATAAAGATAGTCTAAATTATAAACAAAATCATCACTACAATCTCAGCCAAGCCCTTTTTTGCTTATAAAATTCTGTAAATAAAGTCTAAAAATAGTATATTTGAAATGTTTAAACAATGTAATAAACATAAAGCTTCAAAAAGGAAAGTTTCTTTGCCAAAACTCTTCTTGCAATAAAATGGCGTGAAAAAAGAGAGGTTCATATTATTGCAACAATGCACACTATTGAGAAATCGAAATCTATCAAAATGCAGAGTATTAAAATCTTCTGCTGTGATTACATTACATTACATAAATTATACAGGCTGTTTTACTTAAAACTCCCAAGCCAAGTATCTCTGGAATGGATTGAGATGTTGTAGTTTTGTGAGAAATTGTTGCTAGAGTTCTTAAATGACTTCAGTTCTTAAGTATTGTTATTTTTCATTGTACAAAAATAAAGTTTTTATTAGGTGTAAGTGATAGAGCAACTTGCTGTTGAATTGGAAAAACGATTCGAATTGTGCGTGCATGAAATGGTAGTAATTTTGAAGTTATTATAAGTTTTTTTTTGTTGTACCAATAATAATTATGTGTTGTATAGTAGAAACCACGAGAGCTGGCAGTGACAGATCGCTTAAAAATGGTATGAATCAAGATATGGACGTACGACTTAGATTATTTCACGACATACATTTAAATGTAGGTTATGTTAGTAATGGAGGTTATATGTCAAAGATATTATTCAATGATTTTCCTTTCAAAGAAAACATTTTCGGCTTGTGAAAACACTAACAGATTCATGACAACGCTCACAAGACGTTTCGATTTGAGGTTATAATTATAAAGTGACATCCCTTAGAAGAACAGACGTACTTTTTCGACGTGGCCATTTGAATTGTACAGCAGACATATTAAACTAATGCTATCTCTTTCCAACACACATTACTCTCTAGCGGTTTGTGAACTACGTATGGCATTTGTAAGAGCGGAAAATGATGATTTACTGCCAGCTCTCGTGACGTCTACTATACCAATTAAATAATGTTGTGACCTTCTTGTTGGTTTATATGAATAATATCTTCGAATCTTCTTAGTTTTGAAATCAATGTTAATTAGGAAAGTTAGACAGTTTTTGATGCTCTATCACATGCACCTAATAAAAAGTTTAGTGATGAAGGGAAAGTTTCTTTTGACTGCAGCGTCATCTTTATTTTTGTATGATGAATATTAATAATACTAAGAACTGAAATCATTTAATACTCTAACAAGACCTTCTGACAAAACTAAAATATCTCAACCCATTCCAGAGATACTAGGCCTGGGAAGTTTAAGTGAAACACCCTGTATTAGGGAAGCGGACCAACCAACCTACCATTGGTAGCATGGCTGATGACGTTAAAATATTAGAATTGCATTTTATTCTTGAGCTCATTTAAATGAGTCCTCTTTTTTAAACAGAGAAGCAAAATCTGATCCTTGGGCCTCTAAAAACGTCTGAGTTTTATTTTTTAGTTCGTAAATCCGAGAAAGCACTTTTCCGCGAGAAAGCCATCGTACTTTTGTATGAAACAGAACTGACTGATGATCTGCTCCCATGTCCTGGCACACTGCATTAAACAGACGAGAGTTCAGAGGTCGCCACTTTATGTAATTGACAATTTTGAGAACTTCTTGTAAGACAGACAACACTCCATTAGGCAGAGATTTCGTCATCAGTGTTTCTCTGCATAAAAAGCAATGGAAATTTTTATGTGCTTTACTTTATATGCTTATTGAAGTACTGGTCTATTACTTGGAATATTTCTTCTCCAGTGGTAGAACCGGGTAGTGGCAAACAAAATAAAAAGTCTTCTTTTATTTCATACATATTTGTCAGTATACCTCACATTTGAGATGAGATGCGCGTATCCACTGATATCAGTAGACTCGTCGTTCTAGCTGAAAAACTCCACTAAGCCATAATTTTTCAATTGACATTGATTCAATGTCACAAGAAATATCATTAATGCGACGTGAGATCGTATCTGTTGATGCAGGTATTTTTTCAATTTCCTTAACAGCTTCTTGGCTAATCATAATCTTGACAACTTCTCTGCAGGCAGGTAAAAATAAAGTTTTAGCGAAAGAATAAGCCTCCTTTATTTAACTAGCAATCAGGTAGCTTGCTTTTTGCGCTTTGTCTGATGTTTTGAAAGACAAACTCATCAAAGTTTCTTGTTCATCAAAGTCTAAGAGACTGGCCTTTCAAACGTTGAAAAAAGGCTTCAGCTTAATCCGAAGTGTTTGGCAGTATACTCCTGCCCTGATCTTTTCCGGCGTTTTTTTATCAATCTGTGAATATGCAAATATCTGCCTGAACCAGAGATTTTTCGTTTTCGATCCAGGACTGCCGTTCAGGTATCGAGCATTAATCACAGGTAGTGATCTCGTCAAATCTGACGGCATTGATAGCACAATATAACATGTCATAGCAGTTTTGAGCATATTGCTCAAACCTGTAAATGGTAATTCTAAAATACCAAACAGATTATCCATTGCTAGAGTTGCCATGATATGCTATAATAACAATATGGTAGGTGTGAATAAAACAGATATGCTGTTGCGTTCTACAGTTCGAATCCATAAAAAAAATCTGTCAAATGCTACAAAACTGCTTTTTTTACTTAAAAATTTGAAATCCTGAAAAGGTGACTGACTAAAATTAATTACTTTCTTATTTTCCATATAAATCTTACAACAAATTTTCTTTCTAACATTTTAATGAAGCATGAATCACTTTTCATATTTTTATTAAATTTAGTAAAAACATTTTAATTATTTATGACTAATAAAATTTCTTTTTTGTGTTTGAAAATTAGGAAGCAAGTAATCCAACAAAAGGTGGTCATCAATTGAAAGCAGAACCGCCACGGAAAGTGACCAACTGGTTGTCGCGTTGTACGTTACTCTGACCTCTCGGTGTCGTAAAAAAAAGTATTATTATTACAACTCCATACTGTCACAACTGGGTGCAACAAACAATTACAAATAAAATTATTAAAAAAAGTCAACAAAAAAAAGAAATCGTTTTTGAAACTGCAACCGTTTGGTAATTAACAAGAAAAATCGTTAAGTAATAAGTTTATGAAATAAAAAAATAAAAAAATCATGGTTACAAGTCGTTGCGAAGTGAATGATAAAGCCTTAAAAAATAATATTCCTTTGCACGTAATATTTGTGCGAACCACATCAATATTAAAACACACACACACAGAAAATGGGAAAATGAAGGTAAAAATTAATAAATTTATTGATGATGTAATAGGGTGTAGTGGTTTTATAAGTAAAAGTTGTGAAATCATGTAAACCCAGTTATATGTGATGTATTTGCTACTCTAAAATTACGTTGAAGTTGTTAATTGTAAGGGATTTATTTGTTTAATGTATAATCAAACGTATCCGTTTTAAAAGTAAAAAGAAACTTTAAAAGGAGATGAAATCGGGTTTATTTTCTATCGTGTAACGTCTTTAAAACAAAATGGTTTTGTACTTTTTTTTTATGTACCTTACATGTTGTTTAAAGAGGTTTTTATCTTTAATTGAAAAATAAACATAATTTCTGTTTGTTATTGTTTTTTCTTTAACATTCTATAACTTTTTTATAGCTATAATTAGATAAAGAACAATTTAAGCAATATGTATTGTACTTTTATAAATGTTAACTTCTATTATTCATTGATATACATATATTTATATGTTACTTTACTTCTTTTTTCTTCACTTATGTGATAAATACCTACAAAATATTTGTAAAATAAATTTCAACACATAAGTGCAATTTTTGGCCTCCATACAACGTAAATTGTGACGACAAACTGAATTAGGGCGCATAGCAATACTATATTCATTTTTGTACTGTTTTATATTAACTTTATGTTAGCCCTTGTATTACAACCTTTTCATTATTTTTATTATTTCTTTATTTTTTTAATAAATTGTTTTGTAAACCTTAGGAGACTGTAATAGACAATGATAACCATGCTTGAGATTAATTTATTTGCGAACGATCCCGTATTAGTTTATTACTTAAACATAGATTTTGTACGTTTTTATAATATGTAAATTACGAGAAAAATGAAACGGTCATCATCACATTTAAGGTAGTGTATTTTATCGAATGCCCTTCCTGTGAAGTTAAATAAATAAATATCGCTACTCTTTGTAGGTTTACACTTTGTCTATGACGGAAAATAATAATAAATAATGGTCAATATTGATATTTCTATATCTACTCTTTTATTTATTTTGCAATTAAAGCTTCTGTTTTATTAAAAGATGGTAAGTATTCTACCGAACTTACATACGTTAATGATGGTAAGCACATTTACATTGCAACATTCAATTCGAATATGTTAAACATGTTTCAATGGTTGCCTAAGTCTTAAAGATATGCATTTTGAGTTGCCTAATAACAGAAATGTCAAGCACATGTTACATGTTTACACATAAACGTTCAAAACAAGAAAATGTTTTATATTATTGGTTTAGGATTAGGTGATTGCAAAGATATAACAGTAAAAGGACTTGAAATAGTAAAAAAATGTAAAAAAGTCTTTCTAGAAGCTTATACATCAATTTTAACTCATGGAAAAGAAGAATTGGTAATAATCACGTTTTTATCACCATTTAGTTGTAAATACAAATTAATTTTATTTTTTAGGAAAGTTTTTATGGTCGTGAATTAATAATTGCCGATAGGGATCTTGTAGAACAAGGTGCTGATGTTATCTTAAGTGATGCAGCAACCGAAGATGTAGCCTTATTAGTGGTTGGTGATCCATTTGGGGCTACCACCCATACTGACCTTGTTTTAAGAGCTAAAGAAAAAGGAATTGAAGTTCAAGTTATTCATAATGCTTCAATTTTAACAGCTGTTGGTTGTTGTGGTTTACAATTGTATAGTTTTGGGGAAACTGTTTCAATTCCATTTTGGACTGATACTTGGAAACCTGATAGTTTTTTTGATAAAATCGTATCAAATTATAACCATCAATTACATACATTGTGTTTATTAGGTTTTAATCTAAATTTAAGTTAAACATTTTCTTTTAATAACTTGCATATTTTTAGATATTAAAGTTAAAGAACCTACGTTGGAAAGTTTAACAAAGAAAAAAATTGAGTATATGCCACCAAAGTTTATGAGTGTAAAAGAGGCTTCACAACAATTATTAGAAATTTTACTTGAAAAGGGGGAAAGTTGTATCAATGCTGATAGTTTATGTGTTGGTTTATCAAGGGTTGGTGCTAATGATCAGAAAATTGCTGTTACTAGTTTGAAGAAAATGGCTGAGTATGATTTGGGAAATCCTTTGCATTCTTTAATCATTATTGGACCACATCTTCATCCTTTAGAAATTGAATATTTAGAACAATTTAAACTTAATTGTTAATGTTATTGATGTTTTTTTATAAAGAGGCTAAAAAATTAAATTTTTACTTTCTTGCAAAGTAAAGTGCAACAATTTGACTTTGAGATTTGAATGAATCTTTTGTATGTTAAGGAGCCCTAAATTCATTTTGACATTTTTAGCTTTATGCTTGTATATTGTTACACCAGGGTTGGTTTATTCAAAATAAAGCTAATCTTCTTATTATTCACAGGAATTGCAGGTTTACAGTGTTATTCAAAGACGCACAGCTTAACCTGAAAGTTTCTAGGTCTTAGGTCTAGAACTAACACTAGTTTTAGTTTAGTTAACACCGGCTGTGAAAGCATTTGTGCTTATGTAATTTTCAATTGGGTAATATATAGTTCATTATGTTTATTGAGTGGTCATTAACTGAAAATATAATAGCATGTTTCACAAAAAAACACCAAGATGTGCCCTTAATTTTTTAAAATCCTGCATTAATGTTTGTGTTGTAATAATGTCCCTTAAACATTATTGTTATTTTATCACTCTATATTTACTATATATATTTAAAAAAGTGATCAAATTATTATATTTAAGTAAACTTATTTTTGGTTATGTTAAAATGTCAAACTGACATTCCAAAGCGTTTTGAAACGGTACATTTTAGTCATCCCAGAGAACAGCTAAGAGTTATAAGTATGAATAATTATAAATATCTTTAATAATTTGGTGTTAAAATCAATTTTATGATATAATTTTTATGCTATTAAAGTTTAAAAACATTTTTTTGTGATTACTTTAAGTGTTTATAACTAGATGGCGCTATTAAAATCAAAAATGGTGGTTATGCGTTGTTTACGTCAATTTTAGGCGGTCAAAATATTTTATAGCTTTTGAATACTTTATATCGTTCTTTATAATCACTTCTATCCAAAATGTACATAAAACAGGTTAGTTTCAATACAAAAGTCGATATATTCCAATTATTTCTGTTATAATAAAGCTTAACGATTGATAATTAGTAAACTGACATCTGACATTTCAAAGCGTTTTGAAACGGTACATTTTAGTTACGCCAGAAAACGGCTAAGATTTATAAGTTTGAATAATTATAAATATCTTTAATAATTTTGTGTTAAAATCAATTTTATGGTATTAAAGTTTAAAAACATTTTGTTTGCGTAAACTTTAAGTCTTTATAATTAGATGGCGCTATTAAAATCAAAAATGGTGGTTATGCGTTGTTTACGTCAGTTTTAGGCGGTCAAAATATTTTATAGTTTTTAAATACTTTATATCGTTCTTTATAATCACTTCTATCCAAAATGTACATAAAACAGGTTAGTTTCAATACAAAAATCGATGTATTCCAATTATTTCTGTTATAATAAAGCTTAACGATTGATAATTTTATAGGTTATTATACAAGGTTTTAAGAGTTATCGAGATCAAACCGTTGTAGAACCTTTTGATAGGCGTCACAATGTTGTTGTTGGCCGAAATGGTTCAGGAAAAAGCAACTTTTTCTATGGTAATTAAAATTTACTTCATTTTAATTGGTTAACATAAAATGCTTTTTAGCTATCCAGTTTGTACTTAGCGATGAATTCTCTCATTTGAGACCAGAACAGAGACAAACTTTATTACATGAGGGTACAGGGACTCGAATTATCACTGCTTATGTTGAAATCATATTTGATAACTCGGATAATCGCGTTCCGGTATATTTTAATTAAGATTATAAAGAAATGAACAAATTTTATTTGTATTTTTTAGATTGATAGTGACGAAATTTACCTACGGCGAGTAATTGGAGCGAAAAAGGATCAATATTTTCTGAATAAAAAGGTTGTTCCCCGCTCTGAAGTAATGAATCTATTAGAATCTGCTGGATTTACAAATTCAAATCCTTATTATATTGTAAAACAAGGAAAGATTAATCAAATGGCCACAGCTCCAGATGCGCACCGTTTAAAGTTACTCCGTGAAGTGGCAGGAACAAAAGTTTATGATGAACGAAGGGAGGAATCTTTGGGGATTCTTAGAGATGCAGGTGGAAGAATTGAAAAGATTGAAGAGTTTCTTCATACAATTGAGGAAAGATTAAGTACGCTTGAAGAAGAAAAGGAAGAATTAAAACAGTATCAACATCACGATAAAATCAGAAGAGCGCTTGAATACATTATACATGAGGTAGAATTAAATGAAAATAAAAAGAAGAAGGATGATTTAGAAAAGCAACGTGAAGAATCGGGTTCTGAGCAGAAAAAACTCACCGGAAATTATAAAAAGGCTCAAGAACAAATTAAAGTTTTAACCCGAAAAACAAAAGATACTAAAAAAGAGTTAGTTTCAATTAAAGAAGAGCGTGATATGTTAAATAATGAGACCCAACATTTAATAAAAGAAAAGGCAAAGTTAGATCTTACAATTAAAGATTTATCAGAAGAAGTCCTTGGTGACAACAAATCTAAAGAGAGAGCTGAAAATGAATTAGCAAGGTTAGAACACTCCATTAAAGAAAAGGAAGCTGAGTTGGAAAAAGTTAAACCACAATATGAAGCAATGAAAAAGAAAGAAGAAGAATGTACAAGAGATTTAACGTTAAAAGAACAGAAAAGGAAAGAACTTTATGCTAAACAAGGTCGAGGAAGTCAATTTACATCGAAAGACGATCGAGATCGTTGGATTCAAAACGAATTGAAATCGCTAAATAAACAAATCAAAGATAAAAAAGATCACCGAGATAAACTAAGCGAAGATTTAAAAAAAGACGCCGCCAAACAAGTTGAATTAAAAAGAAAAATCGAAGAACAAACTCAAGAAACCGAACGACAACGTATCTGTATCGACGAACATAACAAACAAAGTTACGAATTAAAAAAAAGTAAAGATCAACATCAAACGACAAGAAACGATTTGTGGCGTAAAGAAAATAATTCGCAACAAAATTTATCGTCCCTTAAGGAAGATTTAGCTAAAGCTGATCAAGCTTTACGTTCGATGGCGGGAAAACCGGTTTTGAATGGACGCGATAGTGTAAGGAAAGTGTTGGATACATTTTTAAAACGCGGTGGGAGAGATTCGGATATTGTTGGGTCTTATTATGGACCTGTCATTGAAAATTTTAGTTGCGATAAATCGATTTATACAGCAGTTGAAGTTACAGCTGGAAACAGATTGTTTCACCATGTTGTTAACTCTGATAATGTGGGAACACAAATTCTTAAAGAAATGAATCGGCAAAATTTACCTGGTGAAGTTACTTTTGCCACATTAAATCGATTACATCCAAGAGATATTGATTATCCGGAAGATGCTGTAAGATTATTATTGATAAATGGATACTTATTTTAAGTTTCCTAAAATATTAAACTAAAACTAGAACTAACACTAGCACTATGTATGTATATACAGTGTGTTAATTAATTATCGTACGCGACGTCATCATTGCAAGTATGCAACCAATATCACAGTAGTGGTATTGCAAAACGCGATTTGCGATATTGGTTGCATACTTGCAAGGATGATAATTAATTATAATAAGTATGCTACGGGGAGTGCATATTCTATACGCGGCACCTAGGCCTTAATGGGCCTCTTGTACATCCTCCTCTAACAGGTCTGAGATGTCATAATGAGCTTATCTCGATTTTGGCTGATTCCGCTTCGTGACCGGGCGTGCTGTGCAAAGGCCCAGTGCGGGTTCACCCCTGTCAGGTGCCGCTCAAAGATACCACTCACTCGCTGATCCTCTGGAACCAAGGTGGAGCAAAGCTGCTCATCAACCCTTGGTCCCGGTACGCTTCCACGAGGTATAGCCCCAAAAGCGCTAACGCTTATTCAGCCATTTGTTCAAACTCCTTACACGCATGGGTGATTACGACATCCAAAGGTGAACGACTGGTTGCCGGGACCGACGGCTTAACGTCCTCTCCGAAGGACGTATGGGCGGCTTGGTGATAATGTTTAAACCGGGGCTCGAACCAGGAACGTCTGCGTGTAAACCCAAAAATTTAATCACTAGCAGTATCAAAGGAACTAATACTAGATCTAGAAACTTTCAGGTTTCAGAAACAATTTCGAAGTTGTTTCTGAAGAAGGTTGCAACATGGCATCCGAAACGTCAACCATTTTTTCAAAAGACACTAGAGCTACAACACAAGAAAGACAACACAAAAGCTAGAACTAGAAACATTCGAGTTTAGCCGCACGTCTCTCAAGACGGCTAAACCAGAATGAATCTAGTTTTAGGTCTTGTGTTTGTTCTAGTGTAAAACTAACGTTTTTTCTGGTGGCAGTTTTTGCGCAGGCCGGCGATCGCCGCGGTCTACCAATACGCTGCTGATTTTAATCCGGCCGCTCTCTTCTTAGACATCGAAGCTTCGCAGGCATTTTTCAGGAGCTCCATGGTTTTGATCGTTATGCCCTCCGCGGAGCTGTTTGATTGAAGAATAAAGTGAGAGTCTGCGTCCACGACGGCAGAAAAGGCGGCACCGTCCAGTCTCTCTACATTCCACTTTGAGCCCCTTATTTTTCGTTGATTATGACTAGACCGATTCTCGAAGCCATCTCTAGAATCAACCGACCTCTCGAGTTCGTCCTACTCCCGCCCCATTCGACTGCCTTTGCGTTAAAATCTCCCGCGACGACGATCCCCACGCGTGTTTCCTGGATTATGCCTTCCTGTAGGTCCAGTTTGCGTTGGCACTCCAGAATTGTTTCGTTCGGCGTCTCACGTATGTGACGCCGCCGTTCACCTATAACCAAACGTGACCTTGATATATGGTAGCTACATGGCTGTAGTGCCTAAGTGTTCAGTGAACCAGCCCGTTTCATCTCTGTTGTTATATTGTTCGCTGATTACACTGATTGACAAAAATGAACTTTTAATTTGTCACGTGCACTTTTTTGCAATTTTTGACTTTATTTTGACTCCCTAAGGTGGATAACAGGTGTAGACAAATTTTGGCACCCATGTTTTTTTTGTGACAAAAAATTTATATAAGTACGAAGGCTTTCACGGCCGGTGTGAATTAAACTAAAATTAGAACTAACACTAGAAACTTTCGAGTTTTGCCGTGCGTCTTTTAAGAAAAGGTTTGACGTTTCGGATGCAACCTTCTTCAGAAACTGGTTTGAAGTGACTTTCGGATGCCATGTTGCAACCTTCTTCAGAAACTGGTTCTAGGATCTTAGGATGATTAATACACTTTCTTTGCATGTTGAGAAACTAGCAACGATCTTATGTATGCTAAGCTCATAATTTGACACTGTTTTAAAGAATAACTTGATGCAATTCGACACTATGTACAGTAATATTAGCGGAAAATACAGTAAAGTCACATCAAGGTGGCTGTCATATCAAATTTGTGGGTGACAGAAAAAAAATAATTTCTGTTTTATAATGAGGGCATGTAGTAAAGTAACAATTAGCATACAGAATCCGTGTGGCAAAAACCTTGTCGATCAGTGTTGTTTATAAACAGGTACTTTGTCACCGACAAAGGTACAGCAGGTCAGAAAATTGCATAGTAGAAGGGTATTTTTCTTATTTGCGCATTTATCAGCCCCGCAATAGCATTAACCTTGCCGTGTGGCCCGTCGCTTTTGCCTACAAAGGTCACTGTTGGTTGCCTAACCTATTGGCATCACTCTTTTCCCCGGGAACTATGCGGAACGGTCAGTCCAGTTAATAATCATGTCACTGAGCAGGACTAGCAGCGACGCGCTTTTTCCGCCTTTTCCTGAATTTATCTTTCCACCTTGCGCTGGTTGCTTTGTCAGAGGGCCCTGACTTCCAGCGCCTCCTCCAACTCTAGGAGTCCGGTTTTTATGCTTATGCGAGATGTTCTTCTGTCTTCCTGTAACTTCCTTCCTCTTTTTGATGATCGTAAAGCATTTTTTCATTTCTTCGCTCTCGTGCTTTTTCAATTTCTCTAAGTAGTCTCTTTTCGGGAACATCTGGGGCGGCTGTTCGTTCTCCTGTGAATCACCCTTCCTCCCGTTGCAGTAATCAGTAGTAATGGGTTGAAGATTGTCTCCCAAGTGAATGCGTGAATACCAACTCCGTGGTTTTTGTGTTTGCCGTGTACGCTCTTGGGGGACCGTGCCATCAAAGAGCTTCTGACGAACAGATTTCCAACGTATTCCATACTTTTTGATCTTATGGGGTCGTGTCCTTATCCTTGGGTCCTTTCCTGAGCAAAATAAGAGCTTTCACCTCCATGTACGGGGTTTTGAAAGAAAAATCACTCCCAATACAAGAACATAAAAACAACAAAACCCCACACACTTTGCGTTTATTTTCGCTGAAATATTGTTTAGGATCGCAATCAAGCATTAGTAAGTAATTAAGGGGTTAAAACCCTTTAAAGTTAAAACTTTCTCAGTTTGACTTAGTTTTAAGACTACTATTTGGAGCACCACGAAACTATGACTGCTCAACAACTTCCAAATCACTTAGTTCTAGTGATAGTGCTAGTTTTAGTTTAATTAACACCGGCTGTGAAAATCTTCATACTTATTTCCTAAAACATAACTCTTTTTTAAGGATGCAATTCCAATGGTATTTAAATTAAAATATGATGAAAAATACGATAAAGTAATGAAATTTATATTTGGAAAAACATTAATTTGTCGAACCTTGGATGTAGCAACAAAATTAGCTAGAGAAACAGGATTGGATTGCGTCACCTTGGATGGGGATCAAGTTTCATCAAAAGGTTCATTAACAGGCGGTTATTTTAATTCATCCCGTTCAAGATTAGAAATGCAAAAAACTCGAAGTGAACTGATGGAGCAAATAAAAGAATGCGAAAATGAGTTACAAACATTAAGAGATGATCTGCGTAAAACTGAATCGACCATAAACAATCTTGTTTCAGAAATGCAAAAAACCGAAACTAAAAATAGCAAAGCAAAGTAAAAAAAAAATGTTATTTATTTATTTAGTTTTAAAATATTTTTTTTTTAGAGCAATTTTTGATAAAGTAAAAGGAGAAATTAGATTAATGAAAGAGGAACTTCTCAGTATCGAACGTTTCCATGTTCCCAAAGAACGTTCTCTCGCCCAATGCAAATCTCATTTAGATCAGATGCAAAGTACGAAAGAAAATTTAGAATCGGAATTGCACCAAGAGCTTTTAGCACAACTTTCCGTCGCCGATCAAGCGATTGTCGACACGTTAAACGACGAAATTCAACGATTACAAAAGGAGAACAAAGAGGCGTTTAGTATGCGTATGAAATTGGAGGCTGAAAAAAATAAATTAGACAATTTGTTAACAAACAATTTAATTAGGCGTCGCGAGGAAGTTGTTCATGCTTTACAAGAGATTTCTTTGGAAGATCGAAAACGACAATTAACGAATTGTAAGAATGAAGTTGAAGAAATTGATAAAAAATTAGATAAAGCAAATCAGGAATCACAAGTTTTTGATAAAAAAATTAAAGATATTTCTTCAAAAGTATGTATTTTTTGTATTCTTCGTTAGGGTGGTTGAATCTAAGAGGAGTGCTACATCACAGAAATAGATTCACAGCTTGATGGCTCGTTTGTTACTTAATTTATTGTATTTGTGTTTTGTAATGTTGTTAGTTTGAGATTTAATGTTCATAATATAAAAGAAAAATGTTGATTGAAATTAGCTGTGGGTCTTTTAAGATGGCTAAACCAGGAACTTTCTAGTTTTAGGTCTAATTTTAGGTTTTATTTTCAATTCAATAGAAATATACAATAGTTTAGCGCTGAATGAGAATTAAAACTAGAATTAACACTAGATCTAGAACTAGAAACGTTCGGATTTAGCCGTACGTCTATTAAGATGGCTAAACCTGAATGATTCTAGTTCTAGCTCTAGTGTTAGTTTTAGAAACAGTGTTAGTGTAAAGCTAGAACTAACAGTAGACCTAGAAGTGGAAACATTTGGGTTTAGCCATCTTTAGAGACGTTTGGCTAAACCCGAATGATTTTAGTACTAGGTATAGTGTTAGTTCTAGGAACAGTACTAGTGTAAAACTAGAACTAACACTAGACCAAGAACCAGAAACATTCGAGTTAAAACCTAGAACTAGAACCCAAAACTTTCTAGTTCGTGGTCTAGTGTTAGTTCTAGTTTTAGTTTGATGACAAATATAGGTACAAGAATCTGGCGCTGATTAACAACTAACATTGTCAATAAAACTAACATTAAACCTTGAACTAGAAACGTTTGGGTTTAGCCACACGTCTCTAAAGACGGCTAAACCCGAATGTTTCTAGTACCAGGTGTAGTGTTAGTTCTAGTGACATTGCTAATACAGAACTAGAAACATTCTAGTTTAGGTGCACATCCCTCAAGACGACTAAACCCGAATGATTCTAGTACTAAGTATAATAGTGTTAGTTCCAGTAACAGTGTTACCATAAAACTAGAATTAACACTAGATAAAATAAATTTACTCTAGAAGTAAATATAAATATGCAACAGCTGAGTGAGCGTGACATATTGGTACGATAGTGACGTCATTTTCTAGATTACTAAAGACATCAAAGAATGTAGCAATCCTTTTAGATTCTACTATCCTTGATTCTTTTATTCGTTTCCCATCATTTTCCCTAGATTTATTCATCTCCCATTCTGTACTAAATCGGAACTTAATACATCTTCCAAGTATTCCGTCTAAATAACCTAGTGTATAAATTATTAACAACAATTTTTTTAAGCTCAAAAGTGAACAAAGTGAATTGGATAAATGGAAAAAAATGGAAAAGGACGCTCAAGATAAAATTGATGAAGATGCTAAACAATTAGAAAAATTCGCATCGAAACAAAATTTGCTTGAACAGAAAATTGCTGATAGTGTGGAGAAAATTAATCAATTGGGAGCTTTACCATCGCAAGATTTATATACAAAATACGTCAAAATGTCATCAAGAGCAGTACGTATTAATTTAAACAAACAAAATGTTGTAAAAAGTTATAATAAGTCATATTGATTATTTTCATTGTTAAACAGCTATTTCGTGAACTAGAAAAAACCAATAATCAACTTAAAAAGTATAGCCACGTAAATAAAAAAGCTTTAGACCAATTCGTTGGATTTTCTGATCAAAAAGAAAAGCTACATAAACGTAAAGAAGAATTAGATCGAGGGTAATTAATAATGATGCATTTTTAAATTAAAATTAATAAATCAATTTTTTTAGTGATGAAAAAATAAAAGAACTTTTAAATAATTTAGAACAAAAAAAGATGGAGGCTATACAATTCACATTCCGCCAAGTATCGAAGTATTTCCGCGAAGTTTTCAAAAAATTAGTACCGGTCGGTCGAGCAAAGCTTGTTATGAAAACGAAAGACAACGAAGATGGTCGCGAAATCGGCCCGGAAGATACAAACGCCGATAATTTCACAGGAATCGGTATTAAAGTTTCGTTCACAGAATCCGATGCCGAAATGAAGGAGATGAATCAACTGTCGGGGGGGCAAAAATCTTTGGTAGCTTTAGCGTTGATTTTTGCGATACAAAAATGCGACCCAGCTCCATTTTATTTATTCGATGAAATCGATCAGGCCTTAGACAGTCAGCATCGTAAAGCAGTCGCCGATATGGTTCATGAATTATCGAATGAAGCGCAGTTTATTACGACCACGTTCCGACCGGAATTGTTACAACATGCCAATAAGTTTTATGGAGTTAAGTTTAGGAATAAGGTAAGTCATATTGAGTGTGTTACAATGGAGGAAGCTCGAGATTTTGTTGAGGATGATCAAACCCATGGTTAATGATTTTCTATATATTAAGTCTACTTAGAAAGTAATATTAAAAAAGAATGTTTGAGGATTATGATTTAAGTGAATTATTTTATTGAATATTAAACATGTTATTCTAAATCTAGCTTATTATTATGTCCTTGATGTTTTTTCCATTCCTGGCTAATTTTTTCCAGTCTACCTTGTATTTGAAGTAATCCATCAATTCCAAATCGCTTAATATTGATCTCATTTGTATTTGTGTTAAGACGATGCTGAAATAATAGTTGCATTGGTCGCATCGAGATATTGCTTCAGATTTTTAAAATGAAGTAATTTCAACAAAAAGGAGTATTTTTTTTTTCGAAACAAACTTTTGAAGGTGAATGTTTGCAGCCATTTGTCTTCTTTCGATGATGTTTTTATTTCACTCAAGCACAAAGCAAAACGTTGCAATACGTTACCTCTGGAAAGCCATCGCACTTTATTGCGCAAAAGTCGGTCAGAAAACTCTATTTCTTTAAGGAAGTCTTTAAACTGGTCATGGTAGAGTGCTTTTGCCAAGATTATTTCTGGCTCCATCAGTTCCTATATAAACAATTTTATTTATATCGATTCTAGGTAGTAATACTAGCAGTTCTTCTTTTGGGCCTTGGGACAACATATACGTGACGAAAAGGGCCGTGTCTTTTATGTCTCAAGATTCATCTATAGCAAGTTATAAGGCAGAAGCCAGTTGAATGTCTTCCACTTGCATATGTGTTACATTTGAAGACATTTTAGCAGTTCTATCTTGTACTGTTTTAGCAGATAATGGCAAATCTTTGATTTTTTTCATGATTTCTGCTTTGTTTTTAAAATCACGAAACAGATGCACGTATAAAACAATCTTTGAATTGTTTTGCTCCTTTTGCAATTTTTAATGATACTGCCTGATGAATACCATAATTTTCATTTTTATTAAATCTTAAATATAATGATGTTTTACGTTTAAGGATGACTTATTTAAACTTTTTAGACATTTTTAAAACTTATTTATTACTTTTTGAGTAAAGAAAAATTAATAAAACAAAATCTCCATAGAAAAACATCTCCAAAATTAATACATATTTATTAAAAACAAATCAATTTACTAATTATAACAACATCTCCTTAAATGTTGCTAATTATTATTAATAATTTAGAATATTAACCTTCTAAATACAATTCTTGAATACCAAATTCCTCATTTCCATCAAATTGTACTTTATTTTTAAAAAAATTCCCATCTTTTTCATAATCATATTCACAAACAACATTTTCTTTGTTGTTAATTTCGCAATTATACACTAAATTACTAATTTGATTTTGTTCAAATTGTTCTAAATCAAATAATTGTGGAAAAACCTTAAATTCATCTGCTAGAAAATCCAAAACTTGATCGAAACGTTTAAAATCGTTAAATATGCGCCGTTTAGCACGTGGTAAAAACTTTTCTAACATAAAAACTAAATGGTGGTGAAAACATTGAAATGTTAAGTTGTAAGGTTTTTCTTTGATTGTTAATTTATTTGTTGAGTTGTAATCGTCTGGTTTAATTGTTGAGTTAAAACAAATGTTTATCCATTTTTGTATACAATCAATTGTGATTTCCTTTGATCCTGTAAATAACATAGGATTAGTTAGGAGACCATTTGCTACCATAACACCTAAAAAAATCAAAAATATTTTATTTTTAGTTAATTATTAAAATTTAATAATAAATACCTTGACAATTAACTTCTTGATGTAACTTTTGGCAATCCTCTAAACTTTTCACCCCTCCATTAGCAATAATTGGTACATTAACACTTTCTGTAATTAATTTAAGAGTATTTAAATCAATATCTCCTGTTAGTTGGGAAGAAGTGCGAGAATGTATTGTTAAAAAACTAATTCCACAATTCTCCAGTTGTTTACAAACTTCCAAAGTTTTCTTAACATCCTTTAAAATTCTCATTTTAACACTAACTGTGAAAGGTCGAGCTATTTGATTCCTACACTCTTGTACCATATCAAATATTATTTGGGGATTCTCTAACATAACACATCCAATTCCCATGTGTTTTGCCCATCTTTGAGGGCACCCACAATTTAAATCAACACCATCACAGAATCTACAACCCTACTTTGATTATTTATACAAAAAAATTTGTTTGTAGTCATTTTAAAGGCTTACGGAGATATCAATTTCGATGCTGTGACGAAATCATTAACATTATTAGCAGCAAATTGAGTTATAATAGGAGAATCATCTAAAAATTAATTATTAAAACGACTTAATACAAGAAAACATAACATACAGGAATTTGTTGTGAATTCATTATTTCTTGCTTTACTACTTTGGCAAAATGAATCTGCCAGAATCATTGGTGTAAAACATAAATCGCAGTTGTAACTTCTTAAAAGCGACCTAAATTGTAATCTAACAAAGATTAATTAATAAATAACTTTATAAACATTTTATTTATTTTACTAACTTGCTATATCGCACCATGGGGGCCGATATTTTAACAAAATCTGATTTATTCCCATTAAATAAACTCATCACATCAAAATGTGTTTTATTTTTGTCCATATTTAAATAAAGTATTCGAAAAAATTCATAATGCAAAAAGTTAGGTTAGAATTAATGTGGACAAACTAGCGACATCTTTATTTTACTTAAAATTTAAGAAATTCTCACTTTTTTTACTCAACAATAGATGGCGACTCAAATTTTAAATTTATAAATCAAAATTATATGAGATAAAATTAAAAGTGATAATTTTGGAAATGAATGAAATCCCTGACTGCGTTAATCATGTTTTCTTTATAAGAATCGTTCATTAATTTCATATAAACGTTATCTAAATGATAATTACGGGATATGTCGTCTAAATTGATATAAAAAACTGGTAAAAATATAAAACAACATAACATTCCATACAAAGTAAATGTTTTCATTTCGTTTTGGATCCATTGTAAGGTCATTTTATTGATTAGATTCGAATCTATATCGTTTTCGAACGAAAATCGTTTTAAATTTTCAATGTAACACTCCAATAATTCTTTGAAATTCGTTTTTCTGTTTTCTGAATCGAGATTTATCCATAAAAAATATACTAAATCCATTGCTGGTGAGCCATAATGTAACATTTGAAAATCAATTATTTTAATATCAACGTCGTTTTTGAAAAATATGTTATTTCCCCATAAATCGCCGTGATTTAGAACTTTAATTTCGGTTGGTTTTTCAAAAATTTCAATTACTTTTGAATAAACATTTTCTTTCAAGTTTTTTAAAAATGTCACAATTTCCGAATTTTCTTCAAAAATTTTAATCGACGTGTTTAAATGGTCTAAGTAACACTTTTCTAATAATTGATTCCCTTCTTTATTCATAAAAGAATGAAGATTACTTAACACTTCAAAAAATGATTTGGAATCTTTGATTTGTAACGATAAAGATGCTGAATGCATTTTTGAAATTTCAATAATCACCAATTTAGCTTCATTTAAATCAAATCTATGACCTTTTGGTTTTGTTTTAAAACCATCTAGAGTTAAATCTTCAAAAATTAAATGTTTTTCATCATTATAAAAACATTTAGGGGTTTTTAAAGTACTTCTGGAATACTTATTGAGCAGATTTAAAATGGTTTTATAAAAAATGGATTCGTTCTGAAATTGTTTATCAAAATTGTGGGATTGAGTTGCTGGGTTGGTTGAAAAAGTTTTCAAAATAAGACTAGTTTGAAAATCAATATCTACAAAAAAAAAAAAGAAATTTATTTATTAATTTTTTAAAGCGATTTTTGTTAACCTACCATTTTTAATTCCATAAATAAAAATACGTTCAACTTTCGACACAAAATTCTCACCTATTTCACAAGCATTTTCAATTTTTAAGTTTGAAACTTTAAGATTTAAAAGTTTTTCGAAAAATTCTTTATCAAACATTTTTTTTACCGAAACTAAACGGTTAAAAAACGTTTTCATGAACAATTCTGAAACGAATCGCCGCAAAATAACCATTCATATCTCTATATATAGATGCGATTCGTTTTAGAAAAATGCACCAGCACGAGGAAGTGTAGTTGGAGCTATTTGCAACAACTACGCGTTAATCGCAAGGTCAAACTAGTTTTATTAGTACAGTAGTAGTTCATAACAACCTTACTTAGATACATTGTTGATTTTAATTTCAATGTCACGATTATTTCAAGGTTGCTAATATAAATAGTTAAAAGAAAAATAATCAAGATTTTGAATACTTATTTATTATTACATGTACAAGTTTACATATTGGGAAGATGGAAAAACCAATCTGTACAATGATCCTTATGAAATCTATTCTACCTCGATAGATAACCATATCTTTTCTATTTTATCACAAATTTTCATTAAGCAATTTTAAAAGCTAAAATTTTTGCATTAAACAGATTAGAAGGGAAATTGCGGCCCAGATATCAAGTGTTTGATAAGATTGATTCCGGGATAATAGTTTCTTTGTTGGATTCATGAAGTTCATCAAGTTGTTCACCTTGGCCTTGGAAAATGTATTCAAATAATTGCATTGAGACGATTTTGCACACACGAGGTGGTAATGCTTGCATAAAACCAAAATAATGACCAACATGCAAAATGATGTCTCCTTAGAAGATGTGAATTTGAAACCATGACAAGGAAAACTGCAGAACAGCTTAGTATAACCTAAACAGTGATGGAACAAGTAATGCTGGGAGTCACTCTGAGGGATAAGCTTCAAAAGAGCGACATTTGCAGAAGAACACAAGTGACAGATGTTATTAGTCTAGTGGCAAAGCTTAAGTGGCAATGGGTTGGGTTGAACACAACAAAGAATAACCTTTTGAAGACTACGAGAAACTAAACGATGTGCAGGAAGATCGCAAAAGAAGTGGATCGCTGATGTGAAGGGTGTGGTGGAAAAAAATGGATAAGAACAGCAAAAGATAGAAATAAATGGAGAAACTAGGAAGAGGAAACGGTATTTTGTAAATTTACTGCCTCTCCACAACTTTAATTGTCAGAAACAAATTGATTGACTTGATCTTCTTGGACCTTTATTGCCAGAAGGAATTTAGCATTTATGTCAATGGCAAATAATTATGTCTGGCGTATGGCACAGAAGGCATGTATAGATATTTGCTTGAAACCGTACGTTCAAGTTGATGACACAGTATTTTTTGGCCAAATAAAGAAAACAATTATAGGAAGTATTCTTCTTATCATGGAAAGCAAACCATTGAGACATTTCCTGCACTTGGTTGCTATGTGTACGTAATCATATTTTTAACCTAAGTCACATAGAGTCCTCAAGTCTATCACAAAATCGGTCAGATTGGAAGGAGTGTCAATACTCTAGCTATAATTTTGTAAGCGCCAACTTGGTGAATGTATGGATAGTCTCTGCTTCTGGTTCTAACGTTACATAATGGAGTGAAACGGTTTGTTTGGCCAAAGGTCAAAAACTTTAAAATACTTGATCTTATAAAGCTGAAAAGGTTTCTGTATATAATTCTAGTTCGTGGGTTTCAATAAGATGCTTAATTGAAGATATTTATGGATTAAATATGTACAGCGGAGTAGTAAAAACATCATAAACGGTGAATTATTTTTGTTTTTGATTCTTGTGCGTCTTCTGAGAGTTATCCGCTTGGTAATGCAGCAAGTCCTACGTTGCTTTCGCAAAGAATGAGTACTTTGTGCACACAAGCGGGCATGTAGTACCAATTGTATATCTATGCATAAAGTTTTTCTGTTTTATATGGAACCCCTTCATGACAGTCTGTACTCTTCAGCCCAAATCATGAAAAGCAAGATTTTGGGATATTTCTTGTATAACACAAAGGAGAAGAAAATGAAACAAGATTCTAGTGACAAAGTTAGCAGAAATCGCAGATTAGGTGAGGTTCATCATCATTCTAGCCTGAGTCACATAGAGGTCGCAAAGTCTTTCAGAGATTCGGTCAGATTAGAAACAATCTCAGTTTTTTAGCTAGAATTTCGAAACGCCGAGATGATTAATATGTGATTCCGTCATATAACCTCCATTACTCTTATTTCTCGCCGTATAAGTTTTCTTATTGCACTATGTGAGGGTTGGGTTGGGTTCCAGAAAAAAATGTTATTGGCTTGATCTTAACTCTTGTTTTTAGAAAAATCCTAGCAAGTATGTGAATGGCAAATATTTATGTCTGGGTACGACACAAAGGTGATTTAGGTGATACATCCATAAGTAAAAATTCAAACTTGTATCTGATTTTTGTTCATAGAGATACACACGCTAAATCCGAATGTTTCTAGTTATTCTAGTTCTCGGTCTAGTCTTAGTTCTAATTTTAATTGTTATTTATCGTTAGATTGTGCTATATTTTTATTGAACAAAAAGTAGAAGTAACACTAGATCTAGAACCAAAAACATTCGGGTTTTTCATTCTGGACTTCTGTTGAATATGAAAAAAATTTTATTTGTAATAAATCGAATATACAAAAATATATTTCCATAGAAATCAGGGCGTACCTACTTACTTTGTTCCACATAAAATACAACATGTCTGAATGTTTCTTGTTCTAGGTCTACTGTTAGTTCTAGTTTTACACTAGCACCATCACTAGAACTAACACAAGACCTAAAACTAGAATCATTCGGGTTTAGCCGTCTTGAAAGACGTGCGGCTAAATCTGAATGTTTCTAGTTCTCGGTTTAGTGTTAGTTGTAGTTTTGCACTAGTATTAATTCTTTCGCATTTTTTTATTGCACTAAAACTAGAACTAACACTAGATCTAGAACCAGAAACACTGGGGTTTAGCTCTGCATCTCTTAAGACGACCGAAAACTCAGAGTTATCATAAGGACGTTGCCTTTTTCCAAGCAAAACTTTCCCTTTGCAAAACTCCCCAATGCCTGTACTATTAAGCTATGTTACATTTTATGTGGGATAGTGCAAGTGCATAGTAGTTTTGTAACTATATAGTTATGTAACTATATTGCGAGTTATATGAAATTCCCAGTAGAGTCCATAAAATCTTCCAGAGGTTCTGCCAGAGGTGAGCTTAGAAGCAGTGACAACTCTTTTTGCCTTACAAATTATTGGAGTATGTTAGGAATAACTTACATTATTCCAATTAACTTGCTGTCTAAATACAGTTAAGTATCTAGTCCATATCCATATATCATTACCATTATCATTATGTAAGATAAGTATGCTCCTCTTATCATTTCTAGTCTTCCTTGAGTTAAAAGTATGATAGGTGGAATATATATATAGCTCCAAATACTCATTAATAACAAATTAATATAAATTAAGAAAATCTGTAATATAATGTAATTTGGCAATAATTATCTTAACATTCCATGGCGTAAAAAAATTGAAACTTGGTTGCCATAGCGACAAAACCAAAAAAATATATCATGTCATCTAGTAGCCGTAATTGGGAATCTAATTTTGTTGAGATCTTTTTATCTGCCATTATACGATATTCAAGGTTTCTAATAAATAGTTATCGTAAAACTAGTGTAAATATCATTTTATCAGCTCTTATTTAGTTCAATAACAAATTAAAATTAAAGAAAATAGGACAATGTCAAAAGAAACTACTTTTATAGCTTTATAATCGCATTAATAATTTTTTGGTCAACTGTATTATCACAGTTTATCGTCTTATTTTATATGGTCTACCAACTGATTTTATATATTTATATATATAAATGTAAAATATTTAAATTCCTATATTTTAATATTTTAATTTCTCTCCCCTACAACATTTCCCCCCCACTTCATTAATTCCACAACCCTCCCTCTTCACAATCCCCCACTATTACCCAAACCAGGCGTTTCTATCGAAAGCTTTAAGGCGTGGCGTATTTAATGCAAAGCCCACTTCGATTCCCACGTTAAAATGAACCCTCCCCCGCCTTCTCCTGTCCACGCATCAACATCATATTCTGTTTTCCATCTCCTATTCTCGTTCGTTTTACTCTCCATAGGTGGCGCTATCGTCCATCTCCTTTATCTTCCCCTATCCGAGGCTTCTCCTCCGTCTCTTCCACCACCTTGTCCACCTATTGACAATTTCTCCTCCTCTTACACCGCCCTTCACTTCTCCTTCTCCTACTCGCGGACAAGAAGACCTCTTCTTCGTCATCTACTAAATTACGAGTTATATTACGCGCGCACACTTGTAATTTAATTGTGCACTTAATACCGTTATTAGAAGTGTTCGCTGTCGGATGAACGAAACGAAAACTCGCGCGAGGATTTTTCGTCGTGATCGTTGTTGTTTTTGGCGTCTCGTTACGAGTCGTTTTTATTTTCAAATTGTCATTGTTTGTCAAACTCTTTTATTTTTATATGATAATAACGTGATAATCGTGAATTAATATAATTTAATTAATTAAATCGTGGATTCAAGTAATTGATTTGAGGAGTTAATTAATTAAATGGTGTTTTTGTATGATTTCTTAATTTAATTTTATTAATACTTTAAATTAATAAATTAATTTTTAATGTGTCGCTAATTAATTAAAAATGTTGTACAACGTGCCGACTTATTCCGATTATTCACCTTTACCTTCCTATAATGAGGTAAGTTTTATGTTAAGTTCTTTGTATGAAGAAAAATTGATTTTAGAAAAATTTAAAAGCTTTTCTTTTATTGTAGTTTAATAAGTTGGAAAATTGAATTCGTTTTGGCCGCTTTAGAACGTTCCTCACCTTTTCCATTATTCTTTTGCGTACTTAAGAACTCGTGTGCACGGATAGAATGGGTGTTCTTTTGCGGTACGAGTCAATGGGGCCCTCTTTTTCGAGAGGCTCCACTTTGCAAACACCTACCAACACTCGTCATCATCATCATCATCATTGTGTGCACACCGGGCACTTCAAAATGTCTTCTTACCTGTTTTGTGTGTATGATGTGAAGGTCTCTCCGCGTTTGTATTCCTTGTTCCCGACCCCTACAACCATTTCTTCAAAAGAAATCTCCGAAATACACGGTTTTTCTATAGATTTCTATTTGCTGA